AATTCAGCTATTGTCTTCTTTTGTATCTCACGAAAATGCACCTTCAAGTGCGCATCGTTTAAATATATAATTACCGTATTCACTCCATTATCCGTTATCGTCTAGGTCCGTACATAACGTACGTAATCAATAGCAACATCGCCTTCGTGATGTATTACCGTAGTCAGAAAAATAATTACTTCTGAAACTTACAGTATTTGCCGAAATTATTACGTCGCCTTAGTGATACATTACCATAGTCACCAAAATATTCACTACTGAAAGTAGTTATTCTCTCGCTAAAACTGAGCAATATCTTCTACTGTGTACCTTCGTATCTTTATTCTGAACAATCACCCTGCTTTTTTATTTACCGTATTTGCCGAAATTATTATGTCAGGTAAGTTATAAGTAAAACTACACATATGAAAGTTTACCGTCTTTACCGAAGTTAATGCAACGTTCCTCATCTAAACACACAGTTTACCGTAGATGCCATACGTATGTATTTTTCATTTATCAAATTAATGTTACCGATATTAATAAATCCTTACCATAGTTACCCAAACAGGCGCGACATCCCATACATAGAATTGTCATGAAGGTTGTCCCGTACATGCTCTATTAAAATGTTATAATTACTAAGGCTTTCTGTAAACTTATGTTATAATCATTACCGTTCTTACTCCAGTAAATGTTGTATCCTTTGTATATTGCCTATATGCGCATTTACCGAAAATACTTAAGTATTACAAACATTTATTCCCAGAATTAGATTGAAACTGTCTTAGGCCATTATTATCATTGTTTGTCATGATTACATATGAATTAATGCAATTTGAATGATATGTCGCAACACTAGCTTGAATACACCCTAGGAACTCACAGCTCTCTTGTTTTAAGGCTAGCTACTAATAGCTAATTCCCCATAACGAGGCCTGACAGTAACGTGATCATTAGAGCAAAGCTGTCTTACTACAAAGATACTCAGTCAACCGGGTAAATCATTCCCACCATCTGGTCGTTCCCCTTCGTCGTCTCTTCGACATGCACAATGTTCTGTAAACTTTTCTACTCTGGAATGATCACGATTCACAATGGGCCCTGAACATATAGGGTCACCCAAATGTAAATATTTAAATATTCCAGTCCTAACTGACAAGTTATCGTTCATATGTTGTTTGTGTGGTTATATTAAGTCAGTGACTATGTGTCCATAGTGTTTGCCTGTGATCCAATCTCACGCTGTCAACATTATCCAAATAGTGTCCAATTTTCACTTCCATACATCAGGCCTCGCATTATGACCTGTATGCTTATATCTGACAACGATCAAGGAATAGAAGCGACTGTTGATGTAACTGATTACCTATTTCAAGCAGTCTACACAAACATGCATGGTTACCCGGACATCTTTTCACGCGCACAATGCTGGTGATTAGAGTGGAATGCATATTGTTTAAACATGCATATATAAGCTTTAAACATCATGGTACTTACTCTCTTGCCTGTGCAACACCACAATACAAAGTCAAAGTCAAGACCATCAAACACCTGTCCGACTCTTCTTGTAGCTCGCTGTACCCTCTCTACACTGTAATAGTCCCGGTAACTGAAATGTAGATCACAAATACATGTACACATATGTTCTCCTCCTGCCCCTGCAATATTAACATGCTTTACCATCTAGGGCCGGACACATCACAACTGAAATGTAGATCACAAACACATGTACACATATGATCTCCCCTGTCCCTGCTATATTAACATGCTTCAACATCTAGGGTCGGAAACATCACAACTGATATGTAGATCACAAACACATGTACACATATGTCCCTGCAATATTAACACAACATCTAGAGCCGGACACATCACAACTTAAATCTAGATCACACATATATGTACACATACGTCCTGCTCCTGTCTCTGCTATATTACCAGGGAGATAATTTTATCATATGGCATATATATGTTCCCCTCCAACCAAGGTGCAGCGCTAGTTGCATCATACTCAATGCGCTATCAAAACTTAAGGTATCATACCAACGGTGTCGTGAAAATACATTTCATTCTGTAAAATTAAGTAGTAAGGTCCTGCTCTGTTTATGCTATTCGTATCTCAGGATAAACAGGAGACAATTCAAATCGATACTGGAACATTCAAAAGGCGAGAAAGAAATACACTATATTTTCATCCTCCAAGGAAGGGCGGTAACTCATTCAGACATAAGACTAGAACTGCATGTCAGTGCAGCTGGGCAGCGTAGATATAAGGAGCAGACGTAGGTTGGACAAAGCCAATAAAAAACCGTTACATAACTCGAACGACATATGAACAGGGAGATGGTTTATTTGTGGATGGGTAGAAAACTTATTTTGAAGAACTCTTGATAGAAATGTGGTATTTTCTGGAGATCTACACAAGTAAGCGGTTTATTAAAACTGTGATCATTTACGAATTTGGGAACAGTAGCAGGCATCTCTCAATACATTGTGACAGTTTGCCATTTACAATGGAATGATGATAATTTGATCTGAGTAACAAAATATGATTCAAAGACAAGTGACTGCTGCATGTAGATACTTTCAGCTGGTCGCTAACTATAAACATATATATTGTTGAGAAAAGAATGGGTCATGTGAAAGGTAAAGAAAACAATCACCGGAAATCCAACTTCCAAAGAAGATTGTATATGTATGGTATGACAGTAATTTGAAAGTTGAAAATTAAATCAAACAAAATGGCACTTGTATTATTTGGATAGTATAGTATCGAAGTATATTCATGTGAAATGTCCAATGGGATTTCCAAGTACGAATGTAGACCCCCAACAACCTATATGTATGCTTGTTGTAAGTGGATCAGGTGGCCAGTTACTGGATTGGTGGCTTTCACCTCATCAATTCACTAAATCGGTGATCATGATGTCAATCACTGGATTGTGTTGTTCGGACTCGATTATTTACAGACCGCCGTCATGCAGCTGGCATATTGCCAAATCGGTGTTGAACATGTGTCAATATATGTCAGGCCATAGAAATCGTATTTTGTCCTTTTTTCCTGTGCTTCATACGAGTTCATCAACTGTTAGTTTGACTGATCGTGGTTACTAATCCTCATAAATAAGTTACGACAGAGACGCTCGAGTGCGAGATATCATGTCAAGAAAGGGACACGGGGAATGAGTGTTGCAATAAATACGAATCAACCATGTAACTAGGGTAACGTAGGGTCCGTTACAAGTTCTACCCGTGAAGGGAGTCCAAGTTACCCTCGCCGTTTTCCCGCGGCTGAGTGATTATTTTCATTTTGACATGCAGATCCACTTTATGGTTTAATATTAAGGTAGTGTGTGGAATAGAAATATTATGTTGGTGATGTCGACGTGGACGTCCCATTCGTTTACAGTAGAGTAAATCTTTGGTTTGAGTGAGTTAAACATTTGACCTTTGCTGTCACCTTGCAATAATATTATATTCTGTCAACATGTAGTTCAGTATTACAAATGCTATTTTCATTTACAGCAGAGTAAATGGAAAAAGGGAAGTGTACGTAGTAATTGGAAGATACTTACAGTGACGATATTCCCCAATATTTCGTGAAAGGCTCCTTAACGTCCAGTGGCACCTTTACTGCCTTCGTTGTGTTCTCGTCTGCTGTGACGACCATCCCGTCTCCTGCAACAACGTCACCATGCACTCAGCACGACATACGACATCACAACATCAACATATTATCAGGACATTCACGAGAAAGTGGGCAGGTATCTTCACAATGATAATAATGTCAATGTCACCTAAAGCACTTAGTCATATCATCATATTCCATTTTGTATGTCAACAACGTACGTTTTCCTAAAAATATAGCACGGAGTAACTTAGTTTTCCTTCAAGTTAATCAGTAAAGGATTATGTGAGTATTCCTTCTGGTGGCATTGAAGCAGAGGGAGAAAAAACCAGAAGCTTTATCATAAAATCACCTGAACAATAATCCTGTTCTTTGTGTATTTCTAAAAAATACATTCTTTTACTAACATGCCCTATAACGTATTATGTACATGCTGATGTGAGTGAGTGAGTTGGGTTTAACGCTGCTTTTAACAGTGTTCCAGTTATATCACGGCGTGTCAGCTTAATGTGGGAGGAGAGCCCGAAGTGATGCAGGTCTTAGACGTTTACCACTTCGTTGAAACCCACGAGCACGGGTATGGTGCTGACAAACCTGCAAACATAATCGGGTTGAACCGGGGTTCGAACCCACAATCATAGGTTTCTGGCGTGCTCAAGGGAAGGAACTCTGCACAGCGAATCGCGGTGCCTGGGCCGGACGACTGGGCCTCCCGTGCTCCCCCATGCAGATGTAGATGTTACACGTAGCGTGTGTCTCAAAAAGCGTAAATCTGTTGGGATCCCTGGACAGACTCGGACCAAAGTACTTCAAGCCTGTTGGGAGAGCAGTTATAAGATCGGACTCAGTCAGCCAGTCCTCTTTTTTAATTTCTTTCCTAAAGGAGTCATTTGGCTCCTGCATGAAAACATACTGGAGCCAAAATGATAATCCATGGAGCCAACTGAGCCAACTGAACAACAAGCACATGTCATCACAGTTTTGTTGAAATGTGAACATTCAAACACTTTAAGTCACGTCTTACGAAAGACGCAAGGGGGTGTTTGTCTGTCGTTGCTTTGTCGGGCATGTCACTGTCAAACTGCAAAGTCAATACTCTAAACACCACCACTGTATAACAACAAGGCAATAGCACATTCTATTCAGTATGTACGGAGCTTACTACGCTTTTCATTTGATGCACATCTTAGGAAACTGGACTTTAGGTGAAAATGCGCATGCGATATAATGACTTATAGTTGAAAAAAACCTTTAAAACACAGCATAGTTTGTGATATTGCAGTGTTAACATGACGGACATGTGCTATGGAATACGGACATTGTTTTCTCAAGTACATTCTGCGAATAACTTCCAGCTACGTATCTGTTAATTCTTTTGAAAAGTCAACAATAATGAGGCAAACAAATCAGCAAATTAAAGTTCAGTCGCTTATGCGATCGGTCAGTCGCTAATAAGAGGGCTGGAAGGCTCTGTCATGATCACTAGGATGATTGTATTTCAGTTGACTCGGAAGAGTTTGGAAAGTTGATAATGCTATCAGCGACGTACCCGGAATTGATTGCCTACAGCTGCCGTGATGTAGCTAGAACATTGATGCCTGTGGCAGTAAACAACAAACAAAGCAGCAACATTCAATGAGCAGAAAACAACGTATGAACTGTAGACTACACAAACACAACGCATATTACAGCTGAAGTCGAGAGTACATGTGGAGTAATGTGGGGTCTGTGATGTGTTTTCGTCTCACCAACAAAAATACCGTAGTTATAGTTTCCTTTGCTGCCTATCTCCACACAATCCCCCGGCTCGAGCACACTCCCCTCACTATCCACCACTGTCTGGGTGCAGATCTTCACTGCATGGGAGGCTGGTCCTTGGTGGGGTCTGCCTGCAGGCGGAAGTAACACACACATGTTTAGTAACTTATGCAGTCAAGGTGATGCATCCGAATTACACAATATGGTCTGAAAAGAAGAAGAAGAAGAAGAAGAAGAAGAAGAAGATGAAGAATGTTTTTGAAATATATCTTTTTAAATATATGGATTTTCTCTACTACTTCTATAAAAAGGACAAATTAGCAAAAAATGGTATTCATTTTCTATTTCATAGCGGTTACATATCATTCATAAACTAAACGATGATTTTGTGGTTGTATTAAATCGAGTTTTCTGTACATATCGATTATGGCTTAAACAACGGAATTTACGTAAACCTCTAACAAAATCTCTAATACCCTAGCCGATATTTAAGTCTTACACAAGGAAATATGAAATATCCAATACAGCCCGAAATAATAAACTGTTGAAAAAGAATGAGGATTTAAAGCCACATTTTTACATAATTGCTGCTTGTCTTCAATTTATCGCATTTTGCTCTATTTTGCTATATTTTTGCCATATTTTGCTAAGCAGTTGCTAAAGTTTGCTAATCAGTTGCTTTACTTTGCTAATCAGTTGTTAAAGTTTGCAAAGCAATTGCATCAGCAGCTGGTTGGTCAGTTTTTAATACGAGTTTACAGTGCTTCGTTTCTGCTTACAGTTTTCTGACTTATCTCGGTCGAGCTTGGTATAAATAACATCATTTTCACATAGACATTCCTCAAATGAATCTTGGTCTTTGCAGTGAAACAGGGCAACCGATTTGGTCTGCTCTCTGAGATCTTTCACACTGCAGTCGTCTATAATGAAAAGAGTTGATTCTCCTTTGTATTTACGTGACATACTCGTAAACAGTCTTGTAAACGATTGCACGGATCAAAGTTGTGCACATCCTTCATTACACAATCGCTTTTTAGGTATGTTTTATTCACGTTTATAGTTGGGCACAGAATAATCATATGGGCGCAAAAAGTCTGATAAATATCTAGAATAAAAGCTGATTTCCACACCCCGTTTGCCCGCAGATGATAGCACAGTGTGGGTCTTTAGGTAAAAGATTATTAACAGATCGCTTGCACGAATCTTCCATCTTGTATGTTAAGTTGCGCGTCCATAATCACGTACAAATATATGTTTAATTTACCAGTCGTTTCAGCCTACTTCGTTATCTGTATAGTAGTACCCTCGGTAGCATTCTCTATTCTCCGCCCAGTATCGTGTAGTTGGCCATTATCTGTACTTTGCATGTTGAGCCATAGGGCATACTTCGTGGAAATGAATCAGGGTAATGAACAAAAAAAATGAGCAGCAGAGTATCTTACTAAAATCGACAGGTTCGCAAGATAGGCTGCATCATTACTACACTCGGTATTAAGACCTGCCATATAATATAGTATTTTTGTATATTTAATATGTACGTTACACTTCCGGGAAACGCGCTAAAACTCGGCTGGGCAACTTAAAGTTGCTCTCTGTGATATAACGTATCACCCACGGTTGACCAATATAGAGAGGTAATAACAAGTTATTACTAGATAAAGAATGTCGCACTATATCTGATGGGTATTACAGCGTTTGTTCACTCAATGATGAAATGATTAAGCCTTTGGGAGCTAGCCTCACACGAAATGAATGGAATGGGGTGCTGATTTTAGTCAGTGGAGCACATTCTATAAAACTTGACAGGGACTTAGCAAATACATTTGGATTTATAAGAAGAGAAGTAGCAACAATCACAACAGTGCATGGAGTTAAATTACCCAATACAGTTCCCTATCAAGAGTTGTGCATCCATCTTGATCAGATTAGTACAACGGATAATATTCAACATGAAAGTCCTTTAACTCTGCTAAGAGCTATTCCAGCCAAAGATGAAAAATACAATGGTGGTAGAATGGACTCTTTCTCATCTTTGCAGTTTTAGCAGTATAAGCAGGATATTATTACAGATCTCAAAATTTCTGTATTAGATGTAAAACATCAACCTGTACATATAGGATATATGAGTGTGACACTCCTTGTTATAAATAATGGTTGATTCTTCAGGTCCTGGATCATTACCTTAGAGAATGTAATATATTTGCGCTTTCCGATCTTGGAGACACAGAATGATTTGACAAACCTGCTATCGAGGGCAAGTTATGTGCTTTACACTTACAAGATAATGTCTACAAGTGGAAAGAAGTTATATTCATAGGACCACAAACTAATCTAGGAGATTTAAATGATGTTGATGTAAGTAGACTCCATAAAAAACACTTTATACAATCTTTTCGCGACAATAACAATAAATGGACTATGCTCTAAGCAAAATCGTGCGGCTACTGAATATCGGCATTGCCCCGCCATATGTGACGATGGGTAAGGGACATCATTTAACAAAGATAATGAATATTAGGATCGTACTCGGGGCTTATATCCGAAAGAGTGTGTTAGTCGCTCCCCTGCCAGATGACCCAGGCTATATGTCATTGAGTCGTCCATCATTAAAAGATGTTAGCTTAGATTTGGTTACTTGATTCAATGATGTATTAAATAACTTGAAGGATATACCTGATGGTACTACAATTCTTATGGACTTATTTTTTGGGGATGCACCAGAAGATGCCCTATAGTAGATATTACCAGGTCTCACCTCTAATTCCCACTAATTCATCAGTCTGATCCCAAGTTTCACCCGGAGACCCCTCAATGCCATGCATTATAATGTTATTGCGTCTACTCTGAGCGTCAGCCTTATCAACATTATCCTCTAACTCTGTCACACGGTTCCTCAGTTCAGTATTTTCTGATTTCAGTTTACCAAATTCCTTAGTGAATTCAGATTTCACATTATCAAAATAATTTTCAAAATATCCGCTACATTTTCCTCGGCATGAACAGTACACACTGTTACTTTTATCAAAGAAATGTATATATACTGAACAACAAAAGTGCCTGTGACATTGAATAAGATTTCATGCAAAGTTATGCTTTTCACCAAATCTGAAATAATTTCGGTTTGCAAGAGACAAAAGACTCCTGTAAGTTTTCAAATGGTTTAATTTGCCATACTGACTTCAGAAAATGCCTGATTTAATGAAAAAAAACCATGAACATGTCAAAATGTCAATTTACAAATCAATAGCTTGTGTGTCCACTTGTGTCGCATGGGGATATCTGTCCTGTGGGATATCTGTCCATATTTGCTGGAGCATGTTTCGAAGTTCCTGGAGTGTCTGTGGAACACGTGGTTGACGTTGAAGTCGCCAATCCACTCATCCCACATGTGCTCGATTGGTGAGAGATCAGGGGCGTCGTCATGTTGAAAAGTAATGCCTGGGCCATGACGACGCAAAAAACGGTAGAACAACAGGGCCGATGATCTCGTCGCGGTAGCGCTGTCCATTGAGATTTCCCTCTACCACTATCAAACGGGTCCTCTGTCTTGCTGTAATTCCACCCCATACCATAACGCTGCTGCCCTCGAACCAATCTTCTTCCATGACACAATGATTGACGTAGCGGTCACATCGACGTAGGTACACTCCAATCCCTCCTTCGCTGTGACTGAGGTGAAAACGAGACTCATCAGTGAATAGAACTTGTCCCCACTGCATGGCCATCCAGCATAGACGCTGTCTGCACCACTGTAGACGTGCCTGACGGTGGTTTCCTGTCAAAATGGGACGTCTGGCGGGTCTTCTGGCGACAATCCCTGCACATCTGAGGCGGCGACGTACGGTTTGTGAAGATATTCGTCAAAGGCCAGGGATGCTTCTTGCAGTCACTGTTGCTGGCTTGAATCGAATTCGTAGGTGTGTTGTTCGAATCTAGTTGTCTTGTCGATTATTGGTTTCACGTGGCCTGCCACTCCGAGGATGGTTGGTCTCTGACTGCATTCGTCTGTTGCCAATGTTGCCATAAACACCAAATGGCACGTTGACTCGATCCTGCTTCAAGCACACCAATGGCTCACAGACGCTCATTTTCGGACAGGCGTGGCATTTCGTAATGTTGAATAATTGCGTAATTGTGTTGTTTTTCTGAGTGGTTGTTGTCAACACGATGCTAAACAATGCATATGGAATCCAATCTCATTAAAATCAGACCTTACTTATCGCTACCGCTAAACGGAGATCTGAAGACATCCCATTAGGGGTCATGTCAGAACGACCTTTCATCCGACCAATCAGTGCGTCGCTTACAATATTATGAAAGTGACAGCCGGAATGTGATTTCTAATCATGCAATCTCGAAAACTTTAACATTGGGTATTCCGAACGGTAGTTACGGGTTCAGCGACTGAATCCTTACAATCTAGTCAATCTATTAGCCATTCCAGAATGTTGTTTTGTTCAGGTTTCAAATTTGTAATCGAGAATTTGTCAACATATGTTTCGAAGCATAGTCGCCAATTTGAAATTTGTGCCGTCATTCCATTGGTCGGTCAAAGTTCGTGCAAGGTCGGTCTGACGTGAGCCGTAATGGGATGTCCTCAGATCATTTTTAGCGGTAGCGAGAACAAAGATCTGGTTTTAATGAGATTGATATTGAATCCCGTTAACGCACATGTTTTTATACCCATCCTTAGGAAGTGAAATGTATGGGGCTTGCATAAAAGTCAACTTTTGCATGGAATGCATGCTTTTCTGTAGGAGTTGCGTTTTTGTGACTTGATTCCATACATGTACTACAATATTGAAAACCAAACTTTACTTGTTTGAAAAATACACTAAAGAATTGGTGTCACAGGAACTTTTGGTGTTGAGTATATTTACCAATTACACAATATGGTCTGGAAAGACTTACCATTGTTATTTGACTGACAAGTCCACTATAATCAATACACGCTGTTACTTTTTTCACAGGAATGTAGATATGTACCAAGTCAATATGAATCATGGATTATTTGCATTAATAAAAATTCAGCAAATTCTATTATATGTATGAGATGTATATGTTACAGATTTCAGCAAACTCGTGATATATGCATGAATGACACAGAGACTACAAACGCGACAGGCAATGACAAAAGGACATAAAGCATGGTGTTGCCACCACACACAGATATCTGGCAGAAGTGCGAACATCCAAACACTGTTTGCTGAACCGACACAACTGCTGGCTGACTACTGCCTTGACGTTGACTGAAGTATCGAGTATATACCTATTCCTACAATGAAGGTGTCCCCATGACTACCATGAATATATTACCATGGTTACCATCATGATATCACCATGACTACCATGAATATATTACCATGGTTACCATCATGATATCACCATGACTACCATCAGTATATATCACCATGACTAGACACATATAACCATGATAACATGCCATAGGACATTTAAGATACACATGGAACATGCAATGTGATATGACTTAATATAATTATAGGTGCTGGGATAATGTCTAATCACGTGACTTTTACCTGGGGCCGTTGCAGGTTGGCCATTGTTCTTGGCCTTCTTTTTAACCTGAACTTGGACTTGACGGAGATAAGGTTTAGTTGTGTGGCCTCGTGCAGGGACTGTATCAGCTGCTGGGGGAGGAGGTTGGTTGTAGTAGTTGGTGATATTGATAATGCAGTTGTGGAATATTTTGTTGGTGTTGTTGTTGTCACCAACTTGAATTCCTTCCCCATTTTGGATGTCTATCACTTTCGTTGGTCTAGACGAAGTTGACGCTGCCATTTTGCCTGCAGAAACAGAGGTCACATAAATGCGAACACATGAACGGTATAAAACACGTGAGTAAATTGGGTTCAATCAAATGTCAGGTCACATCACCACCGCGGAAGATGACACCCTCTTTCTTGACTTGCACGTGGCAGTTTTGCAGGGGGAACACGGGCGACCGTCAGGGACTCGCCGACACCGCATATAATTCTGTTGAGGGGATGATTTGATGACTTTTTGCTGTTGGTGAGTGAGTGAGTTTTAACATTATTCCAGTTATATCGTGGCGTGTCAGCTTAATGTGGGGGGTAAGCCCGAAGTGATGCAGGTCTCAGACGTTTACTACTTTGGTGAAACCCACGAGCACGGGTATGGTGCTGACAAACCTAGAAACATAATCGGGGCGAACCGGGATTCGAATCCACAATGATAGGTTTCTTCACTGCCCAGCGAATCTCGGCGCCTTAGACGGCTGGGCCACCCGTGTCCCCTTTTGTTGTTGGCAACTGTGATGAAAAATCCCCATCCTCCTCTGTTATGTAGTAATGTAGTAGTCATCTTGTCAATAAGTTTTATACAGCAATACGTTTGTATGTTTGTTTGCTTGGTTTTAAACGCCGCACCCAGCAATATTTCAGCTATATGACGTCGGTTTGTAAAACAACGAGTCAAGGGACCGTGCGGCGACGTGTTCAAGCCTGTATTCAGAGCAATGGAGGCCATACAAGATTCTGACAGTAATGCATTTGTGAAAAAAATGCGTTTTCTGTTTTCGTTCAGATGATTTGTTTATTTTGCAAATTGACATTAACCTCCTGTGTCATTCCTTACCTGATATTGAAGTTCCTGTAAATGCCACCTTTGTGGAATTTGAATCAGAACATCGTCAGATAAACAGATTTTCTTTCCAACTCGCAACACTATATTTTTGTGATATATTTGATGATGTTGTCAACACCAAATCAATGTTGGTATAGTTTCTTTTGCCTGTAAGTTTAGTACTGTGATATACACTGGTCACTGGTTCAACTGGTATTGTGATATACAATGGTCACTGGTTCAACTGGTACTGTGATATACAATGGTCACTGGTTCAACTAGTACCGTGATATACACTGGTCACTGGTTCAACTGATACTGTGATATACACTGGTCAATGGTTCAACTGATACTGTGATATACACTGGTCACTGGTTCAATTGGTACTCTGATATACACTGGTCACTGGTTCAATTGGTACTGTGATATACACTGGTCACTGGTTCAACTAGTACTGTGAAATACACTGGTCACTGGTTCAACTGGTACTGTGATATACACTGGTCACTGGTTCAACTAGTACTGTGATATACAATGGTCACTGGTTAACCTAGTACTGTGATATACACTGGTCACTGGTTCAAATAGTACTGTGATATACAATGGTCACTGGTTCAACTGGTTCTGTGAAATAGAATGGTCACTGGTTGAACTGGTACTGTGATGTACACTGGTCAATGGTTCAATTGGTACTGTGAAATACACTGGTCACTGGTTCAACTAGTACTGTGATATACAGTGGTCACTGGTTCAACTAGTACTGTGAAATACACTGGTCACTGGTTCAACTAGTACTGTGATATACACTGGTCAATGGTTCAGCTGGTATTGTGAAATACATTGGTCACTAGTTCAACTGGTACTGTGATATACAGTAGTCACTGGTTCAACAAGTACTGTGATATACACTGGGCACTGGTTCAACTGGTTCTGTGATATACAGTGGTCACCGGTTCAACTGGTACTGTGAAATACAATGGTCACTAGTTCAACTGATACTGTGATATAGAATGGTCACTGGTTCAACTGGTACTGTGATATTCACTGGTCACTGGTTCAACTTGTACTGTGATATACACTGGTCACTGGTTCAACTGGTACTGTGAAATACACTGGTCACTGGTTCAACTAGTACTGTGATATACACTGGTCAATGGTTCAGCTGGTATTGTGAAATACATTGGTCACTAGTTCAACTGGTACTGTGATATACAGTAGTCACTGGTTCAACAAGTACTGTGATATGCACTGGTTCAACTGGTTCTGTGATATACAGTGGTCACCGGTTCAACTGGTACTGTGAAATACAATGGTCACTAGTTCAACTGATACTGTGATATAGAATGGTCACTGGTTCAACTGGTACTGTGATATTCACTGGTCACTGGTTCAACTTGTACTATGATATACACTGGTCACTGGTTCAACTGGTACTGTGATATAGAATTGTCACTGGTTCAACTGGTACTGTGAAATACAGTGGTCACTAGTTCAACTAGTACTGTGATATACACTGGTCACTGGTTCAACAAGTACTGTGATGTACAGTGGTCTCTTGTTCAAGTGGTACTGTGATGTACTGACCTATATATAATTTGTTTTGCCCCTATTTAAGATGGAGCCGTGAACGACGTACGAAGATGTTATGTGTTTGTTGCTAGGTAACGGTAAAGGTGAGAAGAGCTGACCTCAGCGAGTCACACAGTCGATCCTTTTTTATGTCGATTTCATTCGGTGTTATTGAACAATTTCAATACATTTTTATAGAAAGTTTAAAAATCAGTAGCCCGTGATATTCCCTACAACAAAGGGGACAAACACTATAGACTGTTTCACTTTGACTGACTTTTAGCCAGACTACAGCCTGTTTAGGTAGATATAACACCAAAAATGTATGTAGTAATATAGGTTGTAATTATTCATTAATAAAAAACTACATTTATGTACAGATGTACAAATTTTCAAGACAATATAGTACAGTAGTTTGTATAGATACAAATAATGTATGTAGTAGCATAGGTTTTTATTAATTATTAATTACAAATTCACCTCCAGTGCACTGTGTCTCGTCTTCTTGTCTTGATTCTGAACTTATGCCCACCGTACACTAAACTCTGTCCACATCGCGAATTAGGGATGAACGTAACGTTTACCTGTGCATTTGCCATTCTGCAATAAATTCTCAAATGGCACCTCCATATATATACAGTGTATATACCCGTTATTTTAAACTGACTCAATTTGTCTGTTTAGAAAAGTATAATAATCAGTGATTTATGTTCACATCAAATAATTTAGCCATATCTGTTGAGCAGAACACAGTTCACTTCATTAGTTAAGTTTGGCTCACAGTGGGTCACAGCTAAGTCATCAAGGAGCTCAGATAATCAGATAAGGCAAGTCACAGGACTGTACTGACGTCACTCCCTGACACGGTGGATCTTTTTGTAGATATCAATTGACAATTAAATTACAACTGAGTGTTTGAAGGTCTTGAAAAACAACTCAACGCGATACAAAATATCAAATACGTTTACATTAAAGCACAAACATGCTATTTTCCGGATGTGTTTATCTTAATGTGGATAAATGTAGGGCAACATACTGATTTAAGGTGGGTGAGGTTTTCAGAGAGTAGGAATCGGACAAAGCTGCCTTCTTGTGTCACTAATGAAGATCTGTCATCATAAAATCATCAACTTACAGATTTCCGATGAATACCTGGAGATTTCTGTCCGTTAAACACTCCTGCTTGCTGTCTGTGTCTCGCCGTCTCCGTACATCCGCAGGGGAACCCCCTTCACATCACGTGACCCCAGCTTTCATTCAGATTGGTTAGGAACGGATCGATAAAAAAAGAACCAGTTTGTTCGGGTAAGTGACAATGTGTGAGTGTGGCTGCTTGTGGCGGCTTGTACTTCTCCGGACTTAAAGTGCATGGCCACAGAAATATTATGGCTCTGTTTAACATGGTTTGGTAAAGAACGGATTGATTCAACAAAAGCCAGCTGGTTAGTGACAAAATATCTCACACGGTCGAGGTCAGGTTTTGACTGGATGTTCGTTATCAGTATCGTGTATCGGGGACTAAGTCGGGGTTTTATCTCAACTCGGACCTGGTACATTCACGCCATGGCGTTGGAAACCCAAATAAGTCCGTGTGGTATTTCTGCAGCAAGATACTCTGACACGTCATTGAATGATAATCTCCTGACCGTACCGGATCTTCTGACCAGTTTAGACCGCCTCCGTGGTCCAGTGGTGTAGAGTCCGCCCGGAGAGCGGAAGGTCCTGGGTTCAAACCCGGCCGCGTCATACTACAAGACGTTAAAAGATGGTACTTGTTGTTACCCTGTCTGGCGCTCGTCATTAAGGGGCTAAAACAAGGACTGGTTGGCTCGGAGTCAGTATACTGTGTCTGAGTAGGGTATTCATGTTAAACTGCGGCATGGTATCTCAGTAAGCTAGCACTATAAATCGGCATCAGTTCGGACTAGTACAAGCAGCCACACAAGTACACACACACGTACATGCACGTCGCTGTATCAGTGCAATAATCTATGACGCGACGTTGACTCGCTGACTCGCCTCGAACTATGCGATCAAACGACCCGCTCAGGACAATGCAGGCAAGTTGAGTTTTACTGCTGTTCAGAGTGTCCCGCACGACTTCGTCGTCGATGACCTAATTATATCTGTGGAGTCTAAAGAAGAAGCAAAATGCCTGTCGCAACAACTTATCCAGCTATCGCAGCTATCCAAATTCAAAGGAAGTCCTGAACACAATGAGTGAAAGAGCTATCGAGACTGACTTGGATTTGGATTAACTACATATGCAGCATGCACTTGTTCTGAAGTGGAATATGCCTGATGATCCACCCACAGAGAGGATTAATAAGCACAGTCAGTTATTTGATCCATGTGGCTTTTAGCTCTGTAAGAGCGAAGTGTTTGATACAAAACCTATGGTCACAGAAACTATTATTTTGTCCCTGACCATCTTTCTGCCTATTGCGTCAAACAGCCAAAAACATGTTGAAATTTTGTCCAGGGAGTCTATTATTGTTCATCTATGCTTTTCCATTCACGTCTTGGTTGTGCGTGATTATCCAAGTTAAAATTCCAATACGTAAGCCTTATGCCCTTGATTTTTAAGACAGAAACTCAAATTTTAGACTTTTTAAGTGACATATAAAAACATTCAAGGTGCATGTTTTATCAAATGTGTATGTTCGTAATGGTTTTGAATGTCATATTTCTGTCTTTCTGTTGTGTTTGTTTGTTTTTTAACGCCGCACTCTTCCAGCTCTATGATGGCGGTCTGTAAATCGAGTCTGGTTCTCTGTTGTGAATGCGCGGCGTAACACTCGATTTATTCGCCCACTACTGCAATGTATATACAAATTGTGATTGTTTGGAAGTATTTATCAACCTCCTCAGATATATTTTGGTAGTGGTTATTCAATGAGAGATGCGTCCATACTTATTGCATTCTTATGTGTTCTGGGGCGGTCAGGTAGCCTAGTGTTGGAATATTGCTAAACGCGGCGTAAAACCATACTCACTCACTCACTCTTATGTGTTCTTAATAACATTGGAGATGATTAAGAATATGAATAAATATGTTCCAATACGTCATGCGTTGTTAGAGTTCTTGTATGCGATAATAAGAAGTGCATGAAGACAGATGGCATTCAAGCGATTACATACTCTGACATTTATTGATTAATACCAATCTGACAGTTAAACAAACGGTCATTGCATAGTTATCCAGTATTTAGACTTAGAGGGAGAACATGGTGGGTAGGGTATTTGATTATGTGAAGAAAAGGTGGCTTCACATTGGAAACCTAAGTTTGCCGATTAACGTTTACAAACACACGTCTGTGTGTGTACATGGCGAAACTAGTTTTTGAATATTGACAAACTGTGGAGAATCTGTCTCTCTACGCACAATAGTTTAATAAACATGTTGGTGTTTTCCAGATTCGTGCTACGTGTGTGTTGTAACATGAGCAAAATGTGTTAACGTGTTTCTTCACTGTAACGATGATGTCTCTGGCTTGCTGGAGGTCTGTTGACCACGTCTCTGTGTCATCCCTGAAGTATCACCTCATCCTGGATCATCAGCTGAATCTTTGTATTTAGCCAGAACGATCTACTCCCGAATGTATCAAGGCGTCAAGATTAAAAGAAAGAATACCATCATATATGTATGTCCGAAAATATAACAGTGATGTAAAGTAAAATTATGTGCTATTTGTCCTTCAACGTAGTCAAGGTTTAATATGGAGAGTACCGTTCTATTATAAGTTTGCTCTTAATTGAAACCAGCAAGGAATCTGCTATGCGTCTCTCGGGGGTACGCTTGTATCAGATGTTGTCATCAGTGTGCAAGGATGTTTCTTTCTCAGCTCCCTGTGTAGACAATAAACAGTCCAAGGTTTTACCGACAGTCAATTCTCTGCACTCTGAACACGAGGACTTAAGAAACAAAAGCATGTGTCAAGGAAACGCCATCAGTTTGTACAGATTTTTAACACAGCAGAACCTCCCCATTACGTCTCAGCGATTTTCATGCAATTTGGAAGACAAGAAGTTTCTTGTAGCATGCCAAATCCGATTACTACTCATACTATTATCACTACTTCTATTTCTACTACTAGTACTACTGCTGTTGCTGCTGCTACTACTACTACTACTACTACTACTACTACTACTACTACTACTACTACTACTACTGGTGCCAGGGGGCACGGGTGGCCCAGTCGTCTAAGGCGCCGCAATTCGCTCTGCAGAGTTGCGTCCCCTGGGCACGCCAGAAACCTATGATTGTGGGTTCGAATCCCGATTCACCCCGATTATGTTTCTAGGTTTGTCAGCACCATACCCGTGCTCGTGGGTTTCACCAAAGTGGTAAACGTCTGAGACCTGCATCACTTCGGGCTTTTCTCCCACATTAAGCCGACACGCTGTGATATAACTCGTACACTGTTAAAAACGGCGTTAACCCAACTCACTCACTACTGGGGCCACAGTCTTCGAAGGTGTTGCAATTCGCTGTACGAGTTGCGTCCCTTGGTCACGAATCCTGGTTTGCCCGATACAATTGTCAGCACCATACCCGTGCTTGTGGGTTTCACAGAAGTGACAAACATCTTAGAACTGCATCACTTTGGGCTTTTCTTTCACATTATGCTGACACGCCATGATACAACTGGAATATATTTCCAAGGCGCGCTAAACCAGTCTCACTCCCTCACAGCCACTACTACCTCTGTCACAAAAAAGGAATACATCATTCAGAAAGTTCGCCAAATGTCTTAATCCAATATGAGCAGAAGAAGATGATAAACGCTACGATAAAGCTAAATTCATTACGCGTAGATACTTTGACCAATGGACATTTACAGGACGATTATGCGTAACACTTGTTTATCATAACACGTTAATCATTGTTAATCATTACAGTGACAATTCCTTTGGTTTTTGCGACTAAACAAATTGCAACGCGTAAAAGCAGTATATTATCTGTAACGCTCAATTTCCTGGATTGGATATAATGTTTACATGTAAAGACGTTAGCTTTACGGGTAACGAGCGTGTAAACTTTCATCACTATTCATTGGTCAAAGGCTTTATGTGTTTTGACTTCAGCTTTACGTGTTAGGCGTAAAGACATTAGTTTTACGCATGTGAAGTGTGGTTACACGTCAACCTACATGGTCGGTCTTTACACTTAAAGTTTTAGGAGATAAACATACTGTGTTTTCAATGTAGGGCTAGGTTACCTGTGGATTTAACCGCATGAATTTGGAATCGAACGCGCATGACTAAATAAAACGCGAACTCTTTGGTGTTTGCAAATATATTGAGTGAAGCGGCATGGGTTGAGTCCAGTGTTTTGAGTGGGTTGTCGGTCTGAATTACGGAATCACCGACAACATTCTGTAAACAAAATATGCCGTTTTATATTACTAAGCAGTTTGTCTCCACCGTAATACTTCACTCGAACATATGACAAGCATTGAAAACATATAAGCACGGCAAGCTCACGTGAGGTGGGCATCCCTAAATAAAACTAAGCAAGCTTTGCAAGACTTTCGTTCTACACAGCGCGTCACCATTATGACGTCATATCGCTCATTGTGACGCAAAAGATATGACGGTCACAGTCGTCAATAGAAAAGCACCAAGCTCTCTGTTGTCTCCAAAACGTAAATACATTCTTTTTGTAGATTTCTATCATGTTTTCTGCACGTAATGTATTGACACACATCCTTTGAATATTGTAATAACAGTAACTGTGCATTTTGTAACATGTAATTATACATATAATTATATAAATATGCCTACCGACAATGACTGAAAAAAGTACTATTCTATGAATATAAGCTTCCGCGGTGATGCAGGAGTCAAAGCAGCTCTTTCAATCAGAGGGGGTTTATTGTAATTTAATAGCCTCTGATTTACCAATCAGAATCGAGTAATTTAAATATTCATGGTAGAACTGCGCTTTACTGTGTAACGTTTATAATATTTTGACCCTATCCGGTAACTATGGACAGAAGGATGATACGTGTCGCCATAAACTCACTGAAATTAAAGATGATGATGAGATGCTGGCAAAAAGTGATCCGTTTTTATCCCAGCATTGAAACACATTTACAAGCTGATCATGAGTGAAACAAACAAGAACATTTTTACAATATACACTGTTAAATACAGTCTGGCATACAAATACGAACACTACATATGTGCAGTTTTCATGTTGATACACACCACATGTAGTTGAGAATATACAAAGAGATTTAAAACTGGCAGGCGTCCATCATATCAGTTCAGCATGGCGACCAACGTGTTGTACTGTTGTCGGATGTCGTCAGTTCTGTAACACTGATACCACATTACTCCAGAACGACTGAAAGATAAAATATGAAATAGTACAACAATTGATCTAATGTGGAATGAATAGCAGCATCTTGTGTGAGAGACATTTCCTACTGTGCATTAAAATACATAATGATTTCTGATTCACTCGGTATTGTGCAATATTCTAGCATGACAAGTGGATGAACTAAAATATCTAGTTTTTACATCATTTCGGAGTGAAACAACTGTGTTTCCGACTTTTCTGCCTTGAAATACGGATGCCTTGTGTTACTTACTTGGAACCCAACGTTTATCGTACATGTTATCTTCTATGTGATAGTGAAAGAATTAATTGCATTCAGCGCACATCATAAGTACCAGTCTGATTTTTCAGTGAGTGTGAGAGTGGTCTTGTGTAGCTAATCTAGTAATGCACCGGATTTCACATATACTACTCGTAGGAGGAATCGAACCCGGGTCTTCAGCATGCTCACTGACGCTTCTGCAAGTAAACTACCCCAGTACCTGCTTAGTGTCTGACAAAACACCACTGTGCGCCACTGTGTCAAGCCAACTGCTGCCAGAGAACGTTCAACATTGCTTACACGCCAGTTAGTTCTTTTGGTGCATGCTTGAACTTAGTTTTCTAATAATTAAAATACATTTCCTCCGATGGTGTTTCTTGTTTGGCATTGTCATATATTCATAGATCAAGGTTTCCATGTTTCATTTGTGCTACGTTGATTATCAAGACGGTATTAACGTCTTAGATTACAGTGAGACCACTAACAGGTGAAATGGTTCCAGAAATTTTAAATTAACCCAATAGTTGCCATTTCTTTGTACAAATTTGCTGATGTATCATTCCTGATTATACGTGTTCAGTCAGTAAAGCAGTGATCATACCACCCTACAGTGCAGAAGATGTCGAGATCTTCCACAAAATTACACAGCAATGAAAGACAACGGATACAAATTCATGTATATATCAATTTGATGACATCGTCAAATGAACATCTCTGTGACGTGACAAGTCATATTTATGTCACTGCACTGGTCAGTTTTGAACAGTTTTGAACAGTGAGTGATTACAGGCAAGGCAAGGGGACGGGTTATGGCAAGATGTTTAGACGGTTGGGTGAAAGTGTTTTTTTCACACAGAACAGTACAGACATAGTAAGCACAAACTTGTGGTCATCTGTCACTCCTGTTGGGTGAAAGTTGTTTCTCCAGACAAAATAGTGTAGACATAGACTGGAAACAGTTTCGTCACAAACGTGTGGTCATCTGTTTGAGTAACGACTCCTGTCTGTGTGCTACTACTACAGTGCATATATTTCTTGATACTTTTATATATTTTTCACAAATTACCCTTAGCAAAGGAAATCCTTATATTTGCAAGTCGGTAGGCACGGTATAACTCATTTATCACGACACTAATAAAACACAATGGCATTCCCTCAGCAAACTCATTTATGTGAACCTTAAATTACATAATCCTAGATAAAGCATGTCGTATTCGTAGCGACACGAGTTTTCCTCTCTTGGTCAAGTGTCGATAAATATTCATACTCAGCAGGCACATGTTTAACGATCTTCCAAACTATAATTAAAATATGCTTTTATAATTATATAATCATAAAAACTTTGTTTGGCAATACTGAGATTACCATCTTATCAGCCCCTTTTACAGTCGTGAATACCATGGTCAAGCGTTAAGACCTATTCCCTTGGCCGTAGACACATGTTTAAAAACGGACATACCAGTACATGTAAATGATATAAGTTCTCATTACCTGCTTACCATATACTGAACAGAACTTTATCGGCTTTGGGCAGATAACATTGTGTCAAACCCACAACATTAGAGAAATGGTAAATGTTATACAGAGAGCTGTTGGGTATTTAACTTCTAAGGCACACCAGTTCGGATACACACCAGAAAATCACAGCTCTCTCCTATCTTGTTTCAAGGTAATCAATAGCAACATCGCCTTCGTGATGTATTACCGTAGTCAGAAAAATAATTACTTCTGAAACTTACTATTCTCTACTTACCGTATTTGCCGAAATTATTTCGTCGCCTTAGTGATACATTACCATAGTCACCAAAATATTCACTACTAAAAGTAATTATTCTCTCGCTAAAACTGAACAATATCTTCTACAGTGTACCATCGTATCTTTATTCTGAACAATCACCCTGCTTTTTTACTTACCGTGTTTGCCGAAATTATTATGTCAGGAAAGTAAAATTACACATATGAAAGTCTTTACCGAAGTAAATGCAACGTTCCTCATCTAAACGACCGCCTCCGTGGTCTAGTGGTAGAGCGTCCGCCCGGAGAACGGAAGGTCCGGAGTTCGATCCCCGGCCGCGTCATACCAAAAGACGTTAAAAGATGGTACTTGTTGTTACCCTGTCTGGCGCTCGGCATTAAGGGGCTAAAACAAGGACTGGTCGGCTCGGAGTCAGTATACTGTGTCTGAGTGGGGTATTCATGTTAAACTGCGGCATGGTATCTCAGTGAGCTAGCACTATAAATCGGCATCAGTCCAGACTAGTACAAGCAGCCACACGCACACACACATGTACATGCACCCAATTTCACCTCACCTCCTCATCTAAACACACAGTTTAGCGTAGATGCCATACGTATGTATATTTCATTTATTCATTAATGTTACTGGTAGTAATAAATCCTTACCATAGTTACCCAAACAGGTGCGACATCCCAAGCATAGAATTGTCATGAAGGTTGTACGGTACATGCTCTATTAAAATGTTATAATTACTATGGCTTTCTGTAAACTTATGTTATTATCATTACCGTTCTTACTCTAGTAAATGTTGTATCCTTTGTATATTGCCAACATGCGCATTTACCGAACATACTTAAGCATTACAAACCTTTATTCCCAGAATTAGATTGAAACTGTCTGAGGCTATTATTTTGATTGTTTGCCATGATTACATGTGAATTAATGTCTTTTTAATGATATGTCGCAACACTAGCTTGAATACACCCTAGGAACGCACAGCTCTCTTGTTTCAAGGCTAGCTACTAATAGCTAATTCACCATAACGAGGCCTGACAGTAACGTGATCATTAGAGCAAAGCTGTCTTACTACAAAGATACTCAGTCAACCGTGTAAATAATTCTAACCATCTGGTCGTTCCCCTTCGTCGTCTTTTACAACATGCACAGTGTTCTGAAAACTATTCTACTCTGGAATGATCACGATTCACAATGGGCCCTGAACATATAGGGTCACCCAAATGTAAATATTTAAATATTCCAGTCCTAACTAAAAAGTTATCGTTCATATGTTGTTTGTGAGGTTATATTAAGTCAGTGACTATGTGTCCATTCTGTTTGCCTGTGTTTCAATCTCACACAGTCAACATTATCCAAATAGTGTCCAATTATCACTTCCATACATCAGACCTTGCAGTATGACCTGTATGCTTATATCTGACAACGATCAAGGAATAGAAACGACTGTTGATGTAACTGATTACCTATCTCAAACAATCTACACAAACATACAAAGTTATGCGCACGTCTTTTCACGCGCACAATGCTTGTGATTAGAGTGGAATGCATATTGTTTGAACATGCTTGTATAGGCTTTAAACATCATGGTACCTACTTTCCTGCCTGTGTAACACCACCATACAAAGTCTTCGTCATCACCATCAAACACCTGTCCGACTCTTCCTGTAGCTCGCTGTACCTTCTGCACCCTGTCATAGTTCGGGAAACTGAAACTGTAGATCACAAACACATGTACACATATGTTCTCCTCCTGCCTCTGCTCTACACTGTTATATTCCCTGCAACTGAAATGTAGATAACAAACACATATACACATACATGTATGTTCTCCTCCTGTCCCTGCAATATTAACCTGCTTCAACATCAGGGCCGGACACATCACAACTGAAATGTAGATCACAAATACATGTACACATATGATCTCCCCCTGTCCCTGCAATATTAACATGCTTTAACATCAGGGCCGGACACATCACAACTGAAATGTAGATCACAAATACATGTACACATATGATCTCCCCCTGTCCCTGCAATATTAACATGCTTTAACATCAGGGCCGGACACATCACAACTGAAATGTAGATCACAAATACATGTACACATATGATCTCCCCCTGTCCCTGCAATATTAACATGCTTTAACAGCTAGGGCCGGACACATCACAACTGAAATGTAGATCACAAATACATGTACACATATGTTCTTCTGTCCCTGCTATATTAGCATGCTTTTACAGCTAGGGCCGGAAACATCACAACTGAAACGTAGATCAAACATACGTCCTCCTCCTGTCTCTGCTATATTACCAGAGAGATCATTTTATCATGTGGCATATATATGTTCCCCTCCAACCAAAGTGCAGTCCTAGTTGCATCATACTCAATGCGCTATCAAAACTTAAGGTACCATGCCAACGGTGTCGTGAAAATGCATTTCATTCTGTAAAGTTAAGTAGTAAGGTCCTGCTCTGTTTATGCTATTCGTATCTCAGGATAAACAGGAGACAATTGAAATCGATACTGGAACATTCAAAAGGCGAGATAGAAATACACTATATTCTCATCCTCCAAGGAAGGGCGGTAACTCATTCTGACATAAGACTAGAACTGCATGTCAGTGCAGCTGGGCAGCGTAGATAGAAGGAGCAGACGTCGGTTGGACAACGCCAATAAAAAAACGTTACATAACTCTATCCACACATGAACAGGGAGATGGTTTATTTGTGGAATAGTAGAAAACTTATTTTGAAGAACTCTTGATAGAAATGTATTTTCTGAAGATCTACACATGTAAGCGGTTGATTAAAACTGCACGTGATCATTATACGAATTTGGGAACAGTAGCAGGCATCTCTCAATACACTGTGACAGCTTGCCATTTATAATGGAATGAAAATAATTAGATCTGAGTAACAAAATATGATTCAAAGACAAGTGACTGCTGCATGTATATACTTTCAACTGGGTCATGTGAAGAGCAAATAAAACAATCACCGGAAATCCAACTTCCAAAGAAGAATGTATATGTATGGTATGACAGTAATTTCAAAGTTATAAATTAAATCAAACAAAAAGACAATTGTGTTATTTGGACAGTATAGTATCGGAGTATATTCATGTGAAATGTCCAGTGGGATTTCCAAGTACGAATGTAGGCCCCCAGCAACCTATAGGTATGCTTGTTGGAAGTGGATCAGGTGGCCAGTTACTGAATTGGTGGTTTGCAAGTCATCAATTCACTGAATCGGTGATCATGATGTCAATCACTGGATTGTGTTTTTCGGACTCGATTATTTACAGACCGCCGTCATACAGCTGGCATATTGCCGAGTTAGGTGTTGAACATGCGTCAATATGTGTCAGGCCATAGAAATCGTATTTTGTCCTTTTTTCTGTGTTTTATACGAGTTCAACTGTTAACATTGACTGATCGTGGTTACTAATCCTCATAAATAAGTCACGACAGAGACGCTCGAGCGCGAGATATCATGTCAAGAAAGGGACACGGGGAATGAGTGTTGCAATAAATAAGAATCATCAATGTAACTAGGGCAACATAGGGTCCGTTACAAGTTCTACCCGTGAAGGGAGTCCAAGTTACCCTCGCCGTTTTCCCGCGGCTGAGTGATTACTTTCATTTTGACATGCAGATCCACCTTATGGTTTAATATTAAGGTAGTGTGTGGAATAGAAATATTATGTTGGTGATGTGGACGTGGACGTTCCACACGTTTACAGTGGAGTAAATCTTTGGTTTGAGTGAGTTAAACATTTGACCTTTGCTGTCACCTTGCAATAATATTATATTCTGTCAACTTGTACAAATGCTATCACCATTTACAGCAGAGTAAATGGAAAAAGGGAAGTGTACATAGTAATTGGAAAATACTTACAATAAATACATTGCCCAATATTCCTTGAAAGGCTCTTTAACGTCCAGTGGCACCTTTACTACCTTCCTTGTGTTCTTGTCTACTGTGACGACCATGCCGTCTCCTGCAACAACGTCACCATGCACTCAGCACGACATACGACATCACAACATCAACATATTATCAGGACATTCACGAGAAAGTGAGCAGGTATCTTCACAATGATAATAATGTCAATGTCACCTAAAGCACTTAGTCATATCATCATATTCCATTTTGTATGTCAACAACGTACGTTTTCCTAAAAATATAGCACGGAGTAACTTAGTTTTCCTTCAAGTTAATCAGTAAAGGATTATGTGAGTATTCCTTCTGGTGGCATTGAAGCAGAGGGAGAAAAAACCAGAAGTTTATCATGAAATCACCTGAGCAATAAACCTGTTCTTTGTGTATTTCTATAAAATACATGCTTTTACTAACATGCCCTATAACGTACATGTACATGCTGATGTGAGTGAGTGAGTTGGTTTTAACGCCGCTTTTAACAGTATTCCAGTAATATCACGGCGTGTCAGCTTAATGTGGGAGAAAAGCCCGAAGTGATGCAGGTCTTAGACGTTTACCACTTCGTTGAAACCCACGAGCACGGGTATGGTGCTGACAAACCTGGAAACGTAATCGGGGTGAACCGGGGTTCGAACCCACAATCATAGGTTTCTGGCGTGCTCAAGGGAAGGAACTCTGCACAGCGAATCGCCGTGCCTGGGCCGGACGACTGGGCCTCCCGTGCTCCCCCATGCAGATGTAGATGTTACACGTAGCGTGTGTCTCAAAAAGCGTAAATCTGTTGGGATCCCTGGACAGACTCGGACCAAAGTACTTCAAGCCTGTTGGGAGAGCAGTTATAAGATGGGACTCACTCAGTCAGTCCTCTTTTTTAATTTCTTTCCTAAAGGAGTCATTTGGCTCCTGCTTGAAAACACACTGGAGCCAAAAGGATAATCCATGGAGCCAACTGAGCCAACTGAACATCAAGCACATGTCATCACAGTTTTGTTGAAATGTGAACATTCAAACACTTTTAGTCAGGTCTTACGAAAGATGCAAGGGGGTGTTTGTCTGTCGTTGCTTTGTCGGGCATGTCACTGTCAAACTGCAAAGTCAATACTCTAAACACCACCACTGTATAACAACAAGGCAATAGCACATTCTATTCAGTATGTACGGAGCTTACTACGCTTTTCATTTGATGCTCATCTTAGGAAACTGGACTTAAGGTGAAAATGCGCATGCGATATAACGACTTATAGTTGAAAAAACCCTTTAAAACACAGCATAGTTTGTGATATTGCAGTGTTAACATGACGGACATGTGCTATGGAATACGGACATTGTTTTCTCAAGTACATTCTGCGAATAACTTCCAGCTACGTATCTTTTAATTCTACTGAAAAGTCAACAATAATGAGGCAAACAAATCAGCAAATTAAAGTTCAGTCGCTTATGCGATCGGTCAGTCGCTAATAAGAGGGCTGGAAGGCTGTGTCATAATGCCTAGGATGATTGTATTTCAGTTGACTCGGAAGAGTTTGAAAAGTTGATAATGCTATCAGCGACGTACCCGGAATTCATTGCCTACAGCTGCCGTGATGTAGCTAGAACATTGGTGCCTGCGGCATAAAACAACAAACAAAGCAGCAACATTCAATGAGAAGAAAACAACGCCTGAACCGCAGAATACACAAACACAACGCATATTACAGCTGAAGTCGAGAGTACATGTGGAGTAATGTGGGGTCTGTGATGTGTTTTCGTCTCACCAACAAAGATACCGTAGTTATAGTTTGCTTTGCTGCCTATCTCCACACCACCCCCCGGCTCGAGCACACTCCCCTCACTGTCCACCACTGTCTGGGTGGTGATCGTCACTGCATGAGAGGCTGGCCCTTGGTCACGTGGTCTGCCTGCAGGCGGAAGTAACACACAAATGTTTAGCAACTGACGCAGTCAAGGTGATGCATCCGAATTACACAATATGGTCTCGGAAGAAGAAGAAGAATGTTTTTGAAATATGTCTTTTTAAATATATGGACAGGTTTTTAATAACAGAATCATTTCTGGTAGATAGAAGACTGATATTTTTTTGAACAGATGGTTGGTAACATTTTGGAATTAAATTTTCCCTACTACTTTTATAAAAAGGACAAATTAGCAAAAAATGGTATTCATTTTCCATTTCATATTGGTTACATTTCAAACATAAACTAAACGATGATTCTGTGGTTGCATTAAATCGAGTTTTCTGTAGATAAAGAGTATGGCTTAAACAACGGAATTTACATAAAGCTCTAAGAAGATCTCTTTCATACGCTAAAGTAGACAGATATTTTTCTGGTTCGAGTAGTGATTTATAAGATGAATAAAGGGAAGAAGAACTGGTGATTTTGTAATGCCAGTTTTGGAATTCTACATCTTTTCTTGTTTGAATATAACCATGAGGCATTTCATATCGCCGCAATCCTGAGACACCAAAACATATGAAAACCAAGTTTGAAACAATAATTTTCTTATATAGGAAACCCAGTTAGTTAGACCATTTTCGTCAAATGCTTTTAACATATGGTAACAGGCATAGAGATATCTTGTTTCGTGTAATCTAAGTTGTCGACACCAGTATTTAATACAACGACTGTAATAGTGTACACACATTCATGTTCTTCCAAGCTCTCCTAGAATTGCATTTGTTGATGTTCTTTCACCAACGGAAAGAAGACTGTTAAAGAAATTACTCTGAATCTTTTCAATGCTTTTTCAAATGGCACATCCCCAAATGTCCGAGCCTTTCAAAAGAACAGGAGCAATATTTGAATCAAATATTTTAGCAGCAGTAGAAAGTGGGAGAGATGGGAATTTTTAATCATATCTAACACAGGAAAATTCGCTTTCCTTTCTTGAATAGATAGTGTATCACATGCTTTGGTCCAAACAGGCCTGAAGAGAATAGTGGACCAAGATATTTGAAATATGATACTTATTCAAATTGTGAACCTTTATAAAACCATTTCTAAATTTTCCTTTGTTCATAATCGGCATCAGTTTTTTTAGATTCTGTAATGTTACCATAGAATGATTCAACGAGTGGTAATTTAGTTTCATCGAATCTAGATCAGTCATCCATATATTCGTAAGGATATACACCTTTTTTCAACAACAAATGCCATGTTAACCGATCAGTATATTGATTTGTTATTGGCTAAATTGTCCAGGGAAGATTACAGAAACTTTACAGGGTCTATGAATCTAAGTCCATTACTTTGTTTTCTTCACTTACCGTCTGTAACTGGAGTAGTTATGCTTTTATAACATGAGGACTTAACTCTATTTGAACCTCGTCCAGTTTTTGAACTGGTGGTGTTTTCTGTTCTCTGGTCTTAAAAAACAACCATACCACTGCTATAATACCTAGGTCATAGGGAGCCAAAGCTTTCATTGCGTGTGTACTTTGTTCAGTGAGGGCTTTTGCCTTCCTGGCTAGCGTTCCCCTTTTACCAGCTGCAACTTTTCAAGGATTCTAAGTCCCTCTCACATTTGGTGTTTCCCCGTTCACTTGTGGCGTTTCTGCAATCACTTGTGGCGTTTCCACCTCCATTTATATTATAAGATGGGCACTCATGTTTAAATTGACAATACTTAACCGTTATTAAAGCAGTGGTAAGAACATTCCGTATCTATAGTAAAAGTCACAGCTTACTGTGGTTAAATAGTGTTCGAAAAACAGTCTTTGTCGAGAGATTGGCATAAATACAGGCGATTTTTTCTTTGGATAGGAAGAAACGGACTAGTCACAGCTGTGTATAATTGTACCATAACAGAAACTATTGTTTTAGTCATGGTTGCTCCTAGTCTAGACTCGTAACGCACGTATATTTTTTTTCTTCATCAGTCATGTTATCGATTTTTTCAGTGGTAGAATTTCCCCCAAGTATTGGGAACATTTTCCACCAGCAACAAAAGACGCAAGTCTTTCTCTATGTTGATCTGTAACTACAGGTTCTGGCTCATCGTTGAGCAGTTGCCTGAGAATTTAATCACATTCTATCTTTTTAATGTAATACCCTAGCCGATATTTAAGTCTAAGATAATGAAATATGACATATCCAATACAGCCCGAAATAATAATCTGTTGCAAAAGAATGAGGATTTCAAACCACATTATTACATAATCGCTGCTTGTCTTCAATTTATCGCATTTTGCTATATTTTGCTATATTTTTTCTATATTTTGCTATATGTTTGCATATTTTGCTAAGCAGTTGCTAAAGTTTGCTAATCAGTTACTATATTTTGATCAGTTGTTAAAGTTTGCTAAGCAATTGCATAAGCAGCTGGTTGGTCAGTTTTTAATACGAGTTTACAGTGCTTCGTTTCCGCTTACAGTTTTCTGACTTATCTCGCTCGAGCATGGTATAAATAACATCATTTTCACGTAGGCATTCCTTAAATGAATCTCGGTCTTTGCAGTGAAACAGGGCAACCAATTTGGTCTGCTCTCTGAGATCTTTCAAGACAGAGTTGAATTTTTTAGTAAGAACCCAAACGCTGTGCTCCATAATTTGTCAGGAGAGTGCTAAATATGAAAGCATATCTTTCTTTTTGGTAAGTTCTCTTCTCGCACTGCAGGCGTCTGTTATGAAAAGAGTTGATTCTCCTTTGTATTTTCGTGACATACTCATACAAAGTCTTGTAAACGATTGCACGGATCAAAGGTCGGTCGGACGTGACCCGTAATGGGATGCCCTCAGATCTTTTTTAGCGGTAGCGAGAACAAAGATCTGGTTTTAATGAGATTGATATGGAATCCCGTTAACGCACATGTTTTTTACCCATCCTTGGGTAGTGAAATGCATGGGGCTTGCATAAAAGTCAACTTTTGCATGGAATGCATGCTTTTCTGTAGCAGTTGCGTTTTTGTGACTTGATTCCATACATGTACTACAATATTGAAAACCAAACTTTACTTGTTTGAAAAATACACTAAAAAATTGGTGTCACAGGAACTTTTGTTGCATATTTACCAATTACACAATATGGTATGGAAAGACTCACCATTGTTATTTGACTGACAAGTCCACTATAATCAATACACAGGAATGTAGATATGTACCAACTCAATATGCATCATGGAATTTTCGCATTAATAAAAAATCAGCAAATTCTATTATTTGTATGAGATGTATATGTTACAGATTTCAGCAAACTCGTGATATATGCATGAATGACACAGAGAGGCTACAAACGCGACAGGCAAAGACAAAAGGACATAAAGCATGGTGTTGCCACCACACACAGATATCTGGCAGAAGTGCGAACATCCAAACACTGTTTGCTGAACCGACACAACTGCTGGCTGACTACTGCCTTGACGTTGACTGAAGTATCGAGTATATACCTATTCCTACAATGAAGGAGTCCCCATGACTACCATGAATATATTACCATGGTTACCATCATGATATCACCATGACTACCATCAGTATATATCACCATGACTAGACACAAATAACCATGATAACATATCACAGGACATTTAAGATACACACGAAACATGCAATGTGATATGACTTATCATAATTATAGGTGCTGGGATAATGTGTAATCACGTGACTTTACCTGGGGCCGTTGCAGATCGGCCATTGTTCTTGGCCTTCTTTTTAACCTGAACTTGGACTTGACGGAGATAAGGTTCAGTTGTGTGGTCTGCATCAGCTGTTGGGGGAGGAGGTTGGTTGTAGTAGTTGTTGATGTTTATTATACAGTTGTTGAATATTTTGTTGGTGATGTTGTTGTCACCAACTTGAATTTCTTCGCAATTTTGGAAGTCTATCACTTTCGTTGGTCTAGACGAGGGTGACTCCGCCATTTTGCCTGCAGAAACAGAGGTCACATAAATGCGAGCACATGAACAGTATCAAACACGTGAGTGAATTGGGTTACATGCGGGGAGGCACCAGCAATGGGATTCAAATACTGTACCATGTAGAAGTAAGTGAGTACAGTTTTACGATGCTTTTAGCAATATTCCAGCAAGATATGGGCTCCACACATTGTTCCCATGTGAGGAATCGAACTCGGGTCTTCAGCGTGACGAGCAAACGCTTTAACCACTAGGCTACCCTACCGCCCCGTTCCATGTATGTATGTATGAATGGAATGAGCAAACGCTTTAACCATAAGGCTACCCTACCGCCCTGTTCCATGTATGTGTGAAATGGCGTGATGAGGAAAGGCTTTAACCACAAGAGCAATATGATTATCGCTGAAGAAATATGATCAATACTCTTTGTAATTATAACGTTTTGACTTGTTCAAATTTTCTCCAGCAACAGTAGGTCGAGATAAGTAGAGTGTCAGTATTATCTATGTCTTCATTTTGAATGGAATTTCGAGTGTATCGTGAGCTATTTCAAGTGTGGTTAGGAGTTCGCGTTGATAACGAGTTACGCCCCTCTAATTATCGAGTGCAAGAGGTATCCATTCAACAACCAGCTTGTAGCATGGACCTGTCAATCAAATGTCAGGTCACATCACCACCTCGGAAGATGACACCCTCTTTCTTGACTTGCACGTGCCAGTTTTGCAGGGGGAACACGGGCGACCGTCAGGGACTTGCCGACACCGCATATAATTCTGTTGAGGGGATGATTTGATGACTTTTGTCGTTGAGTGAGTGTGTTTTAACAGTATTCCAGTTTTATCGCGGCGTGTCAGCTTAAAGTGGGGGGTAAGCCCGAAGTAGTACCGTGATATACACTGGTCACTGGTTCAACTAGTACTGTGATATACACTGGTCACTGGTTCAACTGGTACTGTGATATACATTGGTCACTGGTTCAACTAGTACTGTCATATACATTGGTCATTGGTTCAACTGGTACTGTGATATACACTGGTCACTAGTTCAACTAGTACTGTCATATACATTGGTCACTAGTTCAACTGGTACTGTGATATACTCTGGTCACTTGTTCAACTGGTACTGTGTTATACACTTGTCACTGGTTCAACTTGTACTGTGATATACAATGGTCACTGGTTCAACTAGTACTGTGATATACATTGGTCACTGGTTCAACTAGTACTGTGATATACATTGGTCACTGGTTCAACTAGTACTGTGATATACACTGGTCACTGGTTTAACTTGTACTGTGATATACAATGGTCACTTGTTCAACTGGTACTGTGTTATACACTTGTCACTGGTTCAACTTGTACTGTGATATGCAATGGTCACTGGTTCAACTAGTACTGTGATATACATTGGTCACTGGTTCAACTAGTACTGTGATATACAATGGTCACTAGTTCAACTAGTACTGTGATATACACTGGTCACTGGTTTAACTTGTACTGTGATATACAATGGTCACTTGTTCAACTGGTACTGTGTTATACACTTGTCACTGGTTCAACTTGTACTGTGATATGCAATGGTCACTGGTTCAACTAGTACTGTGATATACATTGGTCACTGGTTCAACTAGTACTGTGATATACAATGGCCACTAGTTCAACTGATACTGTGACATACACTGGTTACTTGTTCAACTGGTACTGTGATATACATTGGTCACTTGTTCAACTGGTACTGTGCTATACATTGGTCACTTGTTCAACTGGTAGTGTGATATACACTGGTCACTGGTTCATCTAATACTGTGATATACAATGGCCACTGGTTCAAATGGTACTGTGATTTACAATTGTCACTAGTTCAACTGATACTCTGATATACATTGGTCACTAGTTCAACTAGTACTGTGATATACACTGGTCACTGGTTCAACTTGCACTGTGATATACAATGGTCACTTGTTCAACTAGTACTGTGATATACATTGGTCACTGGTTCAACTAGTACTGTGATATACAATGGCCACTGGTTCAAATGGTACTGTGATTTACAATTGTCACTAGTTCAACTGATACTCTGATATACACTGGTCACTGGTTCAACTTGTACTGTGATATACAATGGTCACTTGTTCAACTAGTACTGTGATATACAATGGCCACTAGTTCAACTGATACTGTGACATACACTGGTCACTGGTTCATCTGGTACTGTGATATACAATGGCCACTGGTTCAAATGGTACTGTGATTTACAATTGTCACTAGTTCAACTGATACTCTGATATACAATGGTCACTAGTTCAACTAGTACTGTGATATACACTGGTCACTGGTTCAACTTGTACTGTGATATACAATGGTCACTAGTTCAACTAGTACTGTGATATACATTGGTCACTTGTTCAACTGGTACTGTGTTATACACTTGTCACTGGTTCAACTTGTACTGTGATATGCAATGGTCACTGGTTCAACTAGTACTGTGATATACATTGGTCACTGGTTCAACTAGTACTGTGATATACAATGGTCACTAGTTTAACTAGTACTGTGATATACACTGGTCACTGGTTTAACTTGTACTGTGATATACAATGGTCACTTGTTCAACTGGTACTGTGTTATACACTTGTCACTGGTTCAACTTGTACTGTGATATGCAATGGTCACTGGTTCAACTAGTACTGTGATATACATTGGTCACTGGTTCAACTAGTACTGTGATATACAATGGCCACTAGTTCAACTGATACTGTGACATACACTGGTTACTTGTTCAACTGGTACTGTGATATACATTGGTCACTTGTTCAACTGGTACTGTGCTATACATTGGTCACTTGTTCAACTGGTAGTGTGATATACACTGGTCACTGGTTCATCTGGTACTGTGATATACAATGGCCACTGGTTCAAATGGTACTGTGATTTACAATTGTCACTAGTTCAACTGATACTCTGATATACAATGCTCACTAGTTCAACAAGTACTGTGATATACACTGGTCACTGGTTCAACTTGCACTGTGATATACAATGGTCACTTGTTCAACTAGTACTGTGATATACATTGGTCACTGGTTCAACTAGTACTGTGATATACAATGGCCACTGGTTCAAATGGTACTGTGATTTACAATTGTCACTAGTTCAACTGATACTCTGATATACACTGGTCACTGGTTCAACTTGTACTGTGATATACAATGGTCACTTGTTCAACTAGTACTGTGATATACAATGGCCACTAGTTCAACTGATACTGTGACATACACTGGTCACTGGTTCATCTGGTACTGTGATATACAATGGCCACTGGTTCAAATGGTACTGTGATTTACAATTGTCACTAGTTCAACTGATACTCTGATATACAATGGTCACTAGTTCAACTAGTACTGTGATATACACTGGTCACTGGTTCAACTTGTACTGTGATATACAATGGTCACTGGTTCAACTAGTACTGTGATATACATTGGTCACTGGTTCAACTAGTATTGTGATATAAAATGGCCACTTGTTCAACTGATACTGTGATATACCAACGTCACTGGTTCAACTGGTACTGTGATATACATTGGTCACTTGTTCAACTGATACTGTGATATACAATGGTCACTAGTTCAACTGATACTGTGATATACAATGGTCACTAGTTCAAATGATACTGTGATATACAATGGTCACTAGTTCAACTGATACTGTGATATACAATGGTCACTTGTTCAACTGGTACTGTGATATACAATGGTCACTAGTTCAACTGATACTGTGATATACAATGGTCACTAGTTCAACTGGTATGTGATATACACTGGTCACTAGTTCAACTAGTACAGTGATATACAATGACACTGGTTTAACTGGTACTGTGATATACAAAGACACTGGTTGAACTTCAATTGTGTCAGACCCCACCGTGTTATTCTCTGGGACCTCTGATCACCCAGGAACTGACACACATGCATTGATCGATTATTTCCCGTTTGTTATGCGTTAAATACAGACAGGTAGCTCTACCGCTATTCGAGTATTGCCAGTATAGCGACTACACGAGTTGTGTCCCTTCGTCATTGTTCACATCAATAAACCTAGTCTCTGGTTCAACTGATACTGTGAGATACAATGGTCACTAGTTCAACTGAAACTGTGAGATACAATGGTCACTAGTTCAACTGATACTGTGATATACAATTGTCACTTGTTCAACTCGTACTGTGATATACAATGGTCACTGGTTCAACTGGTACTGTGATATATAATGGTCACTAGTTCAACTGATACTGTGATATACAATGATCACTAGTTCAACTGATACTGTGATATACAATGGTCACTAGTTCAACTGATACTGTGATATACAATGGTCAATAGTTCAAATGATACTGTGATATACAATGGTCACTAGTTCAACTGATACCGTGATATACAATGGTCACTTGTTCAACTGGTACTGTGATATACAATGGTCACTAGTTCAACTGATACTGTGATATACAATGGTCACTAGTTCAACTGGTATGTGATATACACTGGTCACTAGTTCAACTAGTACAGTGATATACAATGACACTGGTTTAACTGGTACTGTGATATACAATGACACTGGTTGAACTTCAATTGTGTCAGAACCCACCGTGTTATTCTCTGGGACCTCTGATCACCCAGGAACTGACACACATGCATTGATCGATTATTTCCCGTTTGTTAATCGTTAAATACAGACAGGTAGCTCTACCGCTATTCGAGTATTGCCAGTATAGCGACTACACGAGTTGTGTCCCTTCGTCATTGTTCACATCAATAAACCTAGTCTCGTACCCACCATCGATGTTCCCAGCTGTGTTTGTGTGTGTTTCTCTGGCTGAGTCCCCGATACACTGGTTGAACCAGTGGCCATTGTTTGTTGCTAGGTAACGGTAAAGGTAAGAAGAGCTGACGTCAGCGAGTCACACAGTCGATCCTTTTGTATGTCGATTTCATTCGGTGTTATTGAACAATTTTCAAATACAATTTTATAGTAATATTTTAAAACGTGTTAATGTTCAGTGTGTAAAAATCTGAAGGACAAACTTCAGACCATCATTTACGCAGTATTTTGTCAGGTCGCTCCACTTGACGGGCAATGAAAACATGTCAATCAATATAATATCAGTAAATTACAGATTGATGTTGACACGTTGGGTAACTGTTGATTCCTGTCGGGACAACACTGCTGTTTCTTATTGTTGTTTACTTGTCTCTCGGCTGGCATGTGGTCATTATTTACTTGATCTGTAAAATTACAAGTGTTTCACTTATCAAAACGTTTTGATTATAAGGGAATGAAAGAGAAGTTCCTACCGGTTTCTTGATAAAATTAAGTGATGGTGATGGAATAAAGTAAAAAACACTCTTATAAACAACTAGTTTCCTCCAGATGTCATTGTACTGTATTAGGACAGTATGAGGTGTATTCAGTTATACAGTGCTGACGTCACTCATTGACACGGTGGATCTATTTATAGATGTCAATTGGCAATTGAATTACAACTGAGTGTTTGAAGGTCTTGAAAAACAACTAAACGCGATGCAAAATATCAAATACGTAATATTAAAGCATAAACATGCTATTTTCCGGATGTGTTTATCTTAATTAAGTTTGTAGGGCAACATACTGTTTTAAGGTTAGTGGGGTTTTCAGAGAGTAGGAATCAGACAAAGTTGCCTTCTTGTGTCACTAAAAGACGATCTGTCATTATAGAATCATCAACTAACAGATTTACGATGAATACCTGGAGTTTTCTGTCCGTTAAACACTCCGTCCTTCTGGATGTCTCTGTCTCGCCGTCTCCGACCCGGGAATTACAACAGGGGAACCCCCTTCACATCACGTGACCCCAGCTTTCATTCCGATTGGTTAGGAACGGATTGATGAAAAAAACAGTTGGCCGGGTAAGTGAAAATATGTCTCGCACAGTCGAGGTCATGTTTTAAGGAGGGTGTTCGTTAACTGTGCAGTGTATCGGGGACTGAGCCAGGGAAACACACACAAAAATAGCTGGCTACATCGATGGTGGGTACGAGACTAGGTATGACAAAGGGACACAACCCGTGTAGTCGCTATACTGGCAATACTCGAATAGTGGTCGAGCTACCTGTCTGTATTTAACGCATAACAAACAGGAAATAATCGATTAATGCATGTGTGTCAGTTCCTGGGTGATCAGAGATCCCAGAGAGTAACACGGCGGGGTCTGACACAGTTGCGTCCCTCGGCGTGGATACGAGATGAAGGAGTTGAACATCGCCTTCCCCAGCCAGGTTGATGTATATGTGGGTGTGGCTGCTTGTACTTCTCCGGACTTAAAGTGAGTGAGTGAGTGAGTGAGTGAGTATGGTTTTACGCCGCTTTTAGCAATATTCCAGCAATATCACGGCGGGGGACACCAGAAATGGGCTTCACACATTTTACCCATGTCGGGAATCGAGCCCGGGTATTCTGCGTGACGAGCGAACGCTTTTACCTCTTGGCTACCCGACCGCCCCCCGGACTTAAAGTGCATGGCCACAGAAATATGATGGCTCTGTTTAACATGGTTTGGTTAAGAACGGATTTATTCAAGAAGAACCAGCTGGTTTAGATTAGTGACTAAATATCTCACACGGTCGAGGTCAGGTCTTGAGTCGATGTTCGTTATCAGTATCGTGTATCGGGGACTAAGTCGGGGTTTTATCTCAACTCGGACCAGGTACATTCACACCATGGTGTTGTAAACCCAAATAGGTCCATTTTGTAATTAATTCTGCAGCAGGGTCCTTGCAATTGGTTCGATCCCCAGCCGCGTCATACCAAAAGACGTTAAAAGATGGTACTTGTTGTTACTGTGTCTTGCGCTCGGCATTAGAGGGCTAAAACAAGGACTGGTCGGCTCGGAGTCAGTATACTGTGACTGAGTGGGGTATTCATGTCAAACTGCGGCATGGTATCTCAGTGAGCTAGCACTATAAATCGGGATCAGTCCTGACTAGTACAAGCAGCCACACAAATACACACACACGTACATGCACGTCGCTGTATCAGTGCAATAATCTTGGACGCGACGTTAAACCCCATTTCACCTCACCTCTGAGATTTAGACTGTAATCAGTCGCACTTGCAGTCGACATTGTGGGATGCGTGAGTGCCTGAAACTGATTCGGATTCGCTGCGCTTCCTCTGGAAACCTGACATGAATCAACCGTGCCCGCCTGAAGTGCACAAAATATCCGTGCAGATATCTGATGCTGCTGACTCGCCTCGAACTATGCGATCAAACGTTCCGCTCAGGACAATGCAGGCAAGTTCAGTTTTACTGCTCGTCAGAGTGTCCCGCACGACTTCGTCGTCGATGACCTAATTATATCTGTGAAGTCTGAAGATGAAGCTAAATGCCTTTCGCAACAACTTATCCGGCTATTGCAGCTCATCAAATTCGCAGGAAGTTCTGAACACTATGAGTGAAAGAGCTATCGAGACTGACTTGGATTTTGATTAACTACATATGCAGCATGCACTTGTTCTTAGGTGGAATATGCCTGATGATCCACCCACAGAGAGGATTAATAAACATAGTCACACTTCTTTTGCATTAGGTTTTTCATATAGGATCTAATTACAGCCTTGAAGACAATGTGTGGTTTAAACAGAGGTGGGGGCACGTGTGGCCCAGTCGTCTAAGGCGCCGCGATTCGCTGTGCACAGTTGCGTCCCTTGGGCACGCCAGAAACCTATGATTGTGGGTTCGAATCCCGGTTCGACCCAATTATGTTTCTAGGTTTGTCAGCACCATACCCGTGCTCGTGGGTTTCACTGAAGTGGTAAACGTCTTAGACCTGCATCACTTCGGGCTTTCCTCCCACATTAAGCTGACACGCCGCGATATAACTGGAATACTGTTAAAAGCGGCGTTAAACCCAACTCACTCACTCACTAAAAACAGAGGTGTCACAGATTTGTCGAGAGCTGCCTTTGCTGCAGGATCACCTGCTATTCCAACATGACTGGGACGATGTTGTATTCGCCAGAAGCAAGGTCATTGTATAGTTCTAAAATATCTAAAACACCTGGAGAAGAAAAGGAATGGAAAGAAGTGTACTGACGCAAATCCAAATTGTCAGCCTGTTTGAGATCTGTCTCCTAGAGACAGATCGCGTGTAATTGTATTAAGAGATGTTTCTCGTTAAAATTGGTCTTGAGACCTCTGCAGCTCCACTGCACTAGTGGAATGCAATGTTACAGGTTGGTAAACAGGAGATCTCCCATTTCTTGGCAATTTACTTTTGTTGTACCCTTGAGAATGAGGAGAGACATCCATATCCTCCAAGGTTTGATGGCATTTCTTGCGGTGGTCACATGAGTGGGCACCATGCCCAAACTGCTGACATTTGTAACACCGAAGTGGATTTGGAATGTATTTATCCACTTTGTTGTTAAAATATTCTGCTTTGATGCTTTTTGGAAGAGCCGGCTTTGAAAAGTCATTAAATATGTGTTTGATTTGTAGATGGCATCTTCTCTTTTGTATGTGAAACGTTTGACATGTGTAATTCCCTGATCTTTCAATTCACCTGCAATTTCAATTTCAGTCATGTCATAGCGACACCGGTGTCTATCTCTGATAATGCCTTTGCTCGAGTTTTGTGTGGCGAAATCAGAACAGCAGTGGAGACTAAATGTTGTAGATTGTTTTTCCGCCTACATTCGGCAAGACGCAATCAAGGTAGAAGTTTTCTAGACATTTTGCACGTCTCGGGCAATGCCATAAAGTGCCTTGGAGATATCCAAAGGATTGAGCCTCAATGGTGTACAATCGGCAGCGGAAATGACTACAAATCGAGACTAACTATTAGAACAATATTTTGGAGTAGCATGTTCCTTACAGAGGAATCATCTAATGCTCGTGTTTGTTGTATTGTGGTCGAGCCAAGGTGAAGTTGTAATTAGTTCACATCCCAGCTCCCCACCCGACACGGAATGTCACAAGGACAATGCTGTAAGCCAGTGGATTTCCGACTGGCAGCGCCAAGGATACTGGGATGGTACACTGAAGCAGATTAACGAAAAATCAATTGATCCACCAGATATGCTCATGAGCCTTCTTGGGATACGACTCTAGACAATTGAAATATTTCACAATCAAAATACAAGATTTGCTACATACGAATTTGCCCAAGTCCTAAAGTAAAACGTTAAATCAAAAGTCATTTCAGTACAAACACAAAAAGTGCTCAGGACTTGGCATGACCGACCTATTGATAGGACGGACCCATCCAACCACCCGTCTCGGCCGGTGGTGTATTGGGCAAAGGAGCGCTATTCCTGTAACCAGTGCCCTTAACCACTAGACTCCCATCCTCCGACGACACAGGGCTCAACCCACGGCAAACGGGTTGCCTTTGTATTACGATATTTGATTCAAACGACATTATGTACAATCAACAATATGCGTGTAAGGATAGTATTATGTTGTTCATGTGCAAACAACATTCTGCATGCGTAGATGCAATTATATGATTAGTATGCAAATGACTTTCAGGACGCAAACACGATCTTATATTGTTCCGGTACAAACGACAAAGGGAGCTCTGGGGTAGCCTAGTGGTTAAATGTTTCGCTTATTACGCCGAAGGCCCAGGTTCGACTCCCTACACGGGAACACTGCGTGAACCTACGGTGTCCCCCGCCGTGACATCGCTGGAATATTGCTAAAATCAATACTCGGCCACTCACTCATAAACGACAAAAAGCATGTATACGTGATGCTACTTTTTTTCTTGTTCAATCGACAACATGCAACAATTAGTATATATACATGAAATAACACCATTCTCCATATATACATTCTAATATTTTGTTCATATATAGACGAAAATATGTGTATAAACATGATTTGAAAAAAAAATATTGAAAAAAAGCGAAAAAGGTCAGCACATCCTAAATTCACGTTTGGAAGTTGTATGACCAACAAATCGTTGGTTTTATGCAACATGGTTCCTTTAACTGAAATCTACAGAAAAAAACTCAGTGGCCACATATAATAGTCACTAACATCGTCAAAGTAATAAGATGATCTACCAACATTGTACCAGTTAAATATTTATCTGAAACGTAATTAATTGATACTGGTATCTTGAAAAAACATTTGAGAAGAAGTAAACTGTAATTATAAACTATAAAAGTATTGGTTTATTTCAGTGCAACAATTTCTCTTAATCATTGGTACCTTGCTTACTGCAGCAACGATTTAAATGTACTTTTCCAAATTTGTTTAAGAATACCAACTGTTTTAGGAAATAGTAATGGTACAATAATATAATAATTCATGAAACTGTTACTAAACTATGAACTGAAAACTGTCATGGCAAACATTGCACGCTCAGTATGAAAACGGTTTCTTGGCATACACTTCATTTCTCTCATCAGGTGCCTTCACAGGCTGTTGGACAACGTAAATATACGAATAGAAACCCGTACCATGCCCACAGATGTTTATGTTTCCATGACCTTTGAACGAATATTGTGTACTTTGTTTTTGATAAACAAAATGCACCCGACACAAAAGGTTCCTGTAGCTTCATCTACAAACATCAGTTTGCGGCGGCAGGCAACATCTACCTTTTCATGCAAATTGTGTGGTGTCAGAGCGGATTTATCTATTAATATTATATTCACAGCTAAGTTGCCAATTACGCTCACTGGGTAAAAATACGTTGTTCTCCTGCGTTAAAGTCGAAATCGTAGAGCAGAGATTTCTTATGAATATGAAAAGGGTTTTGTTACTTTAAATTATTTTCGCTCCTCAAAATAATCAATTTATGGTTCACGTCAATTATGATGAGAATACACACACACGCACACACACACACATACACATACACCCTCCTCCCACATTAAGCTGACACGCCGTGATATAACTGGAATACTGTTAAAAGCGGCGTTAAACCCAACTCACTCACTCACTGATGAACTAAAATCCGTTGTCATGTGCCACACAATGCCAACAAACAATATGTGCCTATTAGTCTGTCAGATCACACGTCAAAACGAGAGTAAAAAATTACGAAAACAAAATCATTGTACTAAAAACCAATAGCGGGTATGTGTTAACAGCCTCGCACCATCGTCTCATGCTCCCGTTCAGTGTCTGGATGGGTGCCATACGATTGTTCCACTCTTTAGTGAAAACATGGCTGAGTCACAGGGTGTAGTGAGTTCGATGGGGTTGGGGTCTGGTGACCGAGCTGGACACTCCATGTGGACAATGATCTCCTGCTCTAAGTAGCCATCAACGGCACTGGCATGATAAGGTCGTGCAAAATCGTCCATCAGAATAAAGTCCGGTCAGCTTACGGTCTCACGTACATATCCATAATGTCAATCCCTGTAGCACACACCTACCTTCGTGAGCTGCTGCAGGACATTGAGATCGGTTCTTCCAGTCCTACTGATCCCACCCCAAATGATTGAGACTCCTCCATAGCCGTCATGTCTGCCTATGTTTGAATCCTGAATTCTTTATCGTTGTTTCCCCAACACTCTGGTACAACAATCTGTGAAATCGTCAGCCAAATCTAAACCTGCCTTGATGTTGGGTCAGTAGGATGTGAATGCATGCACTCTGTGACCGGAGACCAGCGTCACAGAGACGATTACGCACTGTCTATATTAGAAACGTTAACGCCTCTTGCGTGCCGCAGGTCGTTCCTGAGTGTGGTGGCAGTCACGACGGCGTGATGACGTCTTGCTGTAGTCAGAAGAAACCTATCTTCTCGCTGTGTGGTTGAACGCTGTCGACCGGCTGCATGTCACAGGGTAGATGATCCGAACATCTAGTATCGATTCCATGCGCATCACACTTTGGCTGACACCAAAGACGTTTGCAACGTGACGTGTTGACCCAATGTCAAGCTTGCCTATATATATGCCTAATTCTTCGATCGTGAAACTACTTTTTTTTTGCTCTAAGGGGCCATAAGTACATTCAGTTGATGCAACATTCAGGAGCAAATGTTGTTGTGCTCTCTAATAGTGATGTGCAACGTTTCTTTCACATATCCAAACCCAAGTTTTCAAGCACCTTGTCCACATCGTGCTCATGGCTTCATGCCGCTGTCCATTCATATTTAAGTTGAGGCCCTATATGGGTTACACAATCATTGTATACCGTGATATTTCAATCTTGTTGTTGGATGATGTTTTTATCATCAAAACTTGACCCACTAGCAACCTTTGAGTAGCATATTTATGCAGTGGAAATAAGGTTTTCATTGTTACCATAATCCCAACATTTCGTGTATGGATTTTTATTATTAACTTAATGTAGAGTGAGAACATTGCAACGGCGCTTTAAACAAAAAATATTATTCAAGTAATATCAAGTCAGGGGACGCAAAGGGTTTTCACATTCTAGTCACATTGAGGGTGCAAACGAAATCAGACCACACTATACGTGTATTTAAAGTGACCTGTAAACAGAGAATGAGCCGTCATCTGTTAAAACTTTAGCACGACCTAATTGTAAATAAATGAATGGTACGATTCGAGTGAGAAACCATGTTCACCCATGATACACGTCAATAAAAGGCAATACACACACGATGTGAAAACCTGCTGACGAAACAAGAAACATAAATATGCACAAATGAACCATCTTTTACTAAAAATGATTATGTACGAGGTTTTGTTTGTTAAATTGACCTTTGTGTAAATGCCAAAGGTTAGTAAATAGATTTGAAATATCTCGGAAAACACAAATATATACAAAAAGCAACGCATTCATTTCCATAATCATGAGAAGTCTCAGCTGAAGGAAATTTCTTCCGACTGTTTCATAAGCATATGCTTATGAATCACAATCAGTTAGTGACGATATCAGTTGTTCGGCAAACGTTGATAGTATCTTGTCTCACCAGTGGCATCCGTCACCAAAACATGCAAAGGAAAGTCTATTGTTCATGTGAAAAACACGGGAACACGTGATACAACTCAAAAGGGAATTCATCAGACGTCACCTTGGTAACAGATGCGTGACATTAGCAAATATCCTTTACACGTCGACCATAATTTCCTTGGCAGCTGAGGCATTGAATGATGTAACACTAGTACTGATCAAACAACACACGCTCTATGAAGTACGACCTTCTCTGAGAAATCATGATCCAATTTCTCATGCAAAGTAACAGTCAATTCATTGAGCGTATGGACAGGTGGGTCTCTTTGTCGAACACGACGGCCTAAAATGGGACAGAATGGGACAGAATTCCTCAGCATCAAATCCAGAGATTGATCCAAAGAATGAGGAGGGTTCTTGAAGCAGTTGTTCGGGTTCAGGGAGGTTACACAAGATACTGATAGAAAGTCAATATTTGGACTTGCAGGACATTAGTTTTCAGTTCGGTGAACCAGAAGTATGATGGTACTGACAGTTAAGTCTATTCAACAAAATTGACATTAGTAATTTTTGGGGATGAAATTAAGTCATTTTCCAAATCTGTAACATCTCCACAAAAAAACCCCACATTATTTCATGGTAATATTAGCAATGTTCCTCCTCAACCATTTCCTTTCGCTAAATAATTTATTTGGTATGGAAATATTTTACACATTTCATGCACTAGTTCATTATATTATCTCAGTCTGAGAATATACGGGTGCTGCTTAACTAATTTCCATGTGTATAGTTCAGTCCCACAAATTAAAACTCACAAACAAATGTACAAGTATGTCCCTCCGAATATCATTTTTTTTGTTATTGAGCTGACAAAGTTCTAAAAAAATAGAAGTTTCCAAATATAAAATGGCCACAGAAACCAAACTATCAAATGTATTCGGCATTCATACATGCTCTCCATTTGCCGACTTACGTGTGATGTTACTTTCATCGTTAATACACATGAACACACGTGTTAATATACATTAAGCCTTGTGCATGAAAAGCAACCAAGGCATTTGGTGTTCAAAGTAATAACTGATTGCGAATCTCTATATATCACTGGAACACGAATGGCCAGGTTTGTTTTCCACTTGACAGCAACTCATTATGCCAGATCCTTTGCCGTGGGTCATTATAAAAGAGCCTGATTCAGTTTGAGAAGTTACTGCGTCGTCTCGTAAAGACGGACACTGACAAAAGATGATGGCCAAACTGAGTTTGGTATTCCTAACTGTCATACACATAACAGTTGCATTTGAGTTTAAAAATCTTGGCCCTCCAACATCCCATCCAAACCAGTTTAATCCTCCTTCAACTGTGGACAAAGAGGTAAAGAAGGCCGTAAGTGATCTAAAGGCACAAGGGAGTCGCCTCGAGAAGCAGGAAGAGCTGATTGCAGAGCAAGCAGAGCTTCTGAATAAGCTGGGAAGGCATCAGTACCAACAAGAGAAATTATTGAAGGATCAAGATAGACAACAAAAGGACCAAGAAAAGCACATTGGCAGGCTGGATCAGTTGTTGTCACATATGCATGCATCACAACAGGAAGAGAACTCCCGTTTGTCAAACATTGAAGAAAAGCTGCAACAGATGGAAGCTAAGGCCGTAACCACTGGGAAACCTGAGGCTCACCAACACGGTAAAGTCCAAGTTGGCTCTGCGGTATCAAATAACATGTCAGAGATTGAAAGGGAGGTCGTCACTGAGGAGCCTGAGGCTCACCAACACGGTAATGTCTATGTGGGTTCTCTGGTATCAAACATCAAATAACATGTCAGAGATTGAAAGGGAGGTCGTCACAGAGAAACATGGCGGTAAGTTCGCTTGCACAGCAATGTGTGTTTTATGTTCATGACGACGAAGGTTCGCATCAAGGCGTCAATTCACAGTGTAGAGCTGCGTCCTTTTGGCAACGCCAGAAAAATAAGATCATAATTCGAGTCCCGGTTCCCTCCGTTTGGGTTTTTAGGCTCTTCAGCACCATACTCGTGCTCGTGGGTTTCACCAACATGGCAAACGCCTGAGACCTGCATCACTTCGGGCCTTCCTCCCACATTGAGCTGACACATCGTGATATAACGGGAATATTGCTCACTCATTATTCAAGACCCTGGTTGTTGTAAATAACCGACGCTATGCAAGAAGAACGCTGAGTGAGTGAGTAAGCGAGTATGGTTTTACGCCGCGTTTAGCAATATTACAGCAATATCACGGTGGGGGACACCCTGAAATGGGCTTCACACATTGTATCCATGTCTGGAATCAAGCCCGAATCTTCGGCGTGACGAGCGAACGCATTAACCACCAGGCTACCCAACCGCTGTAACTGTAGTAATATAATGGCGTCCTTCAAGATGCATTTGTTAACATGCTATATCCAGTCGACTGCCTCCGTGGTCTTGTGGTAGAGCGTCTGCCCGGAGAGCGGAAGGTTCGGGATTCGATCCCCGGGCGCGTCATACCAAAAGACGTTCAAAGATGATACTTGTTGTTACCCTGTTTTGCACTCGGCATTTAGCGGCTAAAACAAAGACTTGTCGGCTCGGAGTCAGAAAACTGTCTGATTGGGGTATTCATGTTAAACTGCGGCATGGTATCTCAGTGGGCTTGCACTATAAATCGGCATCAGTCCGGACCAGTATTAGCAGTACTAGCAGGCACACACACACACACACACGTATGCACGTCGCTATATAAGTGCAATAATCCTTAACGCAACGTTAAACACCATTTCACCTCACCTCACCTATATACAGTTTACGTGGGAGCGGTAGTGTTTATGAAATCACTCTTTGTATATATAACACAAACTATTCTCTGCACAAACTGTTTTGTTGTTTTAAAAAAGAAGTAAACACAGAAAATAGGCAACTACAAGTAAAATGGTGACTGTTTTTTTTATTTAAGCAGAACATTCAATTGTCATACATACGGAATGACGTAGTTACAAGAACTAATTGAAAGAATATTCATTGTGGAGACTTAATTGCTATTTCTATCATATAACTGTCACGTTTGTCAGGAGAAATTAGCAAATAGAATATCATGTGTTAATAACGTCTACAGCAGTGACAACCACGAGACAACCGTTCCTAATTCCCATTTCCCATCTCTTAAGGAAACTTCAGACACATTGAAAACGCGGGCCTATCCTTTGCTCTGGTTACGAAGAACGTGAAGAGTTCGGAAATGGAACATCATTGTGCTGAGCTCGTTGAAGGAGGTCGACTAATTGTCCTGGACACGAAGCAAAAGTATGAAGCAATGCAGGGCTATCTGAACAAGAACATGGGTGAGTAGCGTTAAGGCATTGATAGGACACGCGTTCAGTAGATCATGTCCTTGTTATTCAAGAAAGTAGGTTTGGTATTTATAAATACCTCGAAAATAGCACTGTCCCTTGTAACACCTTGTGAGTGAGTGAGCGAGCGAGCGAGTGAGAGAGAGAGAGAGAGAGAGACAGACAGACAGACAGACAGACAGACAGACAGACCGAGACCGAGACCGAAACGGCGTCATGTGTTTCATATTTAGATCTATGCATAAAGATTCCCAGTGACAAAACACTCCCCACAAGACTTTATGTCGAGCAATATTCTTACACTCCCCACAAGACTTTATGTCGAGCAATATTCTTACTCTCCCCCCAAGACTTTATGTCGAGCAATATTCTTACACTCCCCACAAGACTTTATGTCGAGCAATCTTCTTACACTCCCCACAAGACTTTATGTCGAGCAATATTCTTACACCCTCCACAAGACTTTATGTCGAGCAATATTCTTACACTCCCCACAAGACTTTATGTCGAGCAATATTCTTACTCTCCCCACAAGACTTTATGTCGAGCAATATTCTTACACTCCCCACAAGACTTAATGTCGAGCAATAATTTTACACTCCCCACAAGACTTAATGTCGAGCAATATTTTTACTCTCCCCACAAGACTTTATGTCGAGCAATATTCTTACACTCCCCACAAGACTTTATGTCGAGCAATATTCTTACTCTCCCCCCAAGACTTTATGTCGAGCAATATTCTTACACTCCCCACAAGTTTTATGTCGAGCAATCTTCTTACTCTCCCCACAAGACTTTATGTCGAGCAATATTCTTACACTCCCCACAAGACTTTATGTCGAGCAATATTCTTACACTCCCCACAAGACTTTATGTCGAGCATTATTCTTACTCTCCCCACAAGACTTTATGTCGAGCAATATTCTTACACTCCCCACAGGCCTTTATGTCGAGCAATATTCTTACACCCTCCACAAGACTTTATGTCGAGCATAATTCTTACTCTCCCCACAAGACTTTATGTCGAGCAATATTCTTACACTCCCCACAAGTCTTTGTGTCGAGCAATATTCTTACACTCCCCACAAGACTCTATGTCGAGCAATCTTCTTACTCTCCCCACAAGACTTTATGTCGAGCATTATTCTTACACTCCCCACAGGCCTTTATGTCGAGCAATATTCTTACACCCTCCACAAGACTTTATGTCGAGCAATATTCTTACACTCCCCACAGGCCTTTATGTCGAGCAATATTCTTACGTTCCCCACAAGTCTTTATGTCGAGCAATATTCTTACTCTCCCCACAGGCCTTTATGTCGAGCAATATTCTTACACTCCCCACAAGACTTTATGTCCAGCAATATTCTTACACTCCCCCCAAGACTTTATGTCGAGCAATCTTCTTACTCTCCCCACAAGACTTTATGTCGAGCAATATTCTTACACTCCCCACAAGACTCTATGTCGAGCAATATTCTTACACTCCCCACAAGACTTTATGTCGAGCAATATTCTTACACTCCCCACAAGACTTCATGTCGAACAATATTCTTACACTCCCCACAAGACTTTATGTCGAGCATTATTCTTGCAGCTCCAGCTTTCGGTGTTTACATTTCATGGTACAACTCTTGCTCTTGCTTGATCAATGTTACAACATAAAAAGCCTCAGTAAAGCTTTCAAAACTTTTGTAGTAGACATATGGAGGACACTTCGAAATTTGATGCATTAGATCGAATATTGAAATATTAAACATTGCCTCTCCTTTTCAGACAAGAAGAATTTTTTTTATATTGGACTACGAAAGCAGCGGAACGAGAAGACGCATCGCTGGTCCAACGGAGTAAAGATCGACGATAACTTTTGGTGCGCGAAAACAGGGCAAGCACACAAGAGAAAATGCGCTTCCGTAATACACAGGGTGGGCGTGGGATTCTGCATAGGGGTGATGAGTTGTCACGGTGGCTATAGCATTTGTGAAAAACCTCGACAATGAAGAAACATGGTTATCGAAGTTCACCTACATTAAATATATATATACACAGTAAAAAAAGTGTTGCACCCCACATTAATACGTTTGATACATCACAACATTTAAAACGCCCGACTCTGGTTTTAATGGTAGGTATTCCTTGGGGATCTGATGTTAAATGTGTAATGTTTTCGGAGGGAAGATGATCACCAAAACGTAGCAATCAGCACGTGAATTGCATGGTGCATGACATTTGCAGATTGCAGTATCTTCTTAAGCTCAACATCGCCTATAAAAGATGTTCTCTGACAGCCCAGTTTATTGTAACCCACAATGCCGGGTAGACGATTGTCAGAAGCAGTCTAGTGGCAGATTATTGGCCTTCATGGAGCAGGTCTTTCGTTCAAGGTGATTGGCAGAAGAACCGGACATCACTACTCAACAATAAGCCGTTTGGTCAGAAAACACGCACAAACTAATGATGTAAGGAATCGCAGACCCTCTGGCAGACCACGTAAGACCACAGTTAGAGATGACAGAGCGTTGTTGAGGGTGGTAAGGCGTCATCCATTTGCTACAAGCACAACCTTGAAACGTCTTTGGCTTCCTCGTCAACAGTTCAGTACCCAGGCCGTGAGAAATCGTCTTAAAGCTGCAGGGTTGAAGTCCAGAAGGGTTAACAAGCGACCTAAACTCACAGACAACCACAAACGACTACGTCTAGCCTGGTGTAGACTGAGACAGAACTGGAACTTGAGGTCCTGGAGAAGAGTCAACTGGTCGGACGAAAGCAGGTTCCCATTGCATGTTGTGGATGGCAGAGTGAGAGTATGGAGGCGTCCTGGAACAGCTTATACTGCAAGAAACATCATGCCAACTGTACCATATGGAGGTGGATCTGTTATGGTCTGGGGATGCTTCTCATTTGATTGTAAGCTTGATTTAGTGACCATACGAGGCAACTTGACAGGGGAGCGCTACATCCAAGAGGTGCTGAATCCAGTTGTGGTGCCCCATTTTGACAATCATCCACTGGCCACCAGACCGATATTCATGGATGACAATGCCAGACCACATCGTTCACGAGCTGTGACCCAGGTTATCCACAACAATGCTCTGACGCAGATTCCATGGCCAGCAATGAGTCCAGATCTGAATCCTCTGGAACATGTATGGGACATTTTAGGACGCCTGATTTATCGTCGGGACCCTCCTCCACAGAACTTGCGTGAATTGGAAGCAGCATTACACGAGGAGTTGCAGCAGCTGCCCATGGAGCGATTCCAACGTCTGGTGAGGAGTATGAGACGAAGACTTCAAGCTGTGATCCAAGTGCTTGGTGGAAGGTCTCGATATTGACTTACTGTGTTCGTCAAATCTCCATATGACATTCTTACCCTATTGGATGAATTTGGTCACTAAAAATTATTGAGATGTCACCATACTTAATGCGTCTTCGTTGTTCGTTCATTTTTCGTAAAAGTTCAGCATGAGATTATTACATGCCATAAGGTCATGGAATACCCCATTTAAGTTCATTGTATAGACAATACACTGGTTTGTTGGTATACACGAAATCCTGGTTATAATATTAATTCAGTTATCTTTACACCCTTTCAAAACACCCCTCCATGAAAAAGTATAGGGGGTGCAACACTTTTTTTACTGTGTATATATTACTTCAATCCAATGTTGTGTCAATTATTTTAGTATCTACTGACAGGCAGGTTTGAACTTTTTGTTTGTTGTTCTACAGGAACAAGTCAAGGCGAGTTGTTCTACTTATATATTACGTAGAAACAAACTTTTTGTTCTTGGCGTGACTTTTAGCACACTTAACAGGATATCACTGCGTAGTTTCAAAAAAGCTGCGGCTTCGCTTATCATTCACTGTAAACATGTATTTCCTTTTTATACGAATAAACATGGGTGGGTGGGTGGGTATCACTGGCCCAACGGAGCGAACCTTTTGGTGCGCGGGACTGGGTCAACCACTCTTTTCGTTCTGCGCTGCACTGAAAAAGGCATCCGACCAGCATCGGTTACTGCATAGGAGTGGCGCCTTGCCAACGAGGGTATATCATTTGGGGAAAACCTCAACAGCGAACTAAAGACTATGCCCAAGTTCACTTATATTAAATAAAATTATTCATACTTTAATTGACTGTTCTTTGAAGAATGCATGCAGGTTTAGTTGTTTTTGTACTGCTGACACAATTCATGTCGGTTCTAGTTTCAATACACATAATACGTAGTTTTTAATACACACGATACGTAGTTTTCAATACACATATTCGTAGTTTTCAATACACATTATACGTAGTTTTCAATACACATTATACGTTTAGTTTAGTTGTTTTTGTACTGCTGACACAATTTCATGTCGGTCCTAGTTTCAATACACATAATACGCAGTTTTTAATACACATAATACGTAGTTTTCAATACACATGATACGTAGTATTCAATACACATAATATGTAGTTTTCAATACACACAATACGTAGTTTTCAATACACATAATTCGTAGTTTTCGATACACATTATACGTAGTTTTTTTAATACACATGATACGTTATTTTCAATACACATAATACGTAGTTTTCAATACACATAATACGTAGTTTCCAATACACACAATACGTAGTTTTCAATACACATAATACGTAGTTTTCAATACACATTATACGCATTACCTTCAGACTACAATGTACTAAGTGTGGCAACAATTGGTGGAAGATGATGTCTCTTTGAACTGTTCAAGTCACTGGCTTCCTACAGACTGTATTACACTGTGGGGCAAATCTGTTTTGGTGATTCTGTTAAATATTATATTCTCCGAGCTGATAGTTCATAACCCCAATATTTAAGGGCGGCCTTTTGCAGCGTAAAACACTTCAGAACCCCCCAGCAACAGGCTTTCTTTTCCCTGTACATCATCCCTTTCAACTTACTGAGAGAGAAATATTCACATGTGTGGTGTATTCTACTCTAACAAGGTAAGAAGATGCAAGTAACAAGGCAACATATGGTTAACAAGCCTAAAATTGGAGCAGATTGTCCCACGATCAGAAACATTTGGATGGACCTAAAGTGATGTCCCCGAACATGCCAGACAGGGTCACAACAACTACCTTCTTTTAATGAAATTTTGTTTGATGCAGCCATGATACGAACCATCAGCCTTTCATTCTCTGGGCAGACGCTTTCCACAAGAAGATACAGTTGAAATTACAATTAGGGGAGGAAATGTTTCCATTTTGAAAGCACCGAATCAATTTGTTCACCATCACAGAATACTGATCTACGCCTTGTACATTGAACAAAACAAGTAAGGGATGACAAATGTATGTACAACACCTTTCTATTTCCTGATTGTTTTTCGCAGATTTTATGTCCTGCCATATGTCCTGACATCAACAAGTCCTAAATATCCAATCAAATATGTCGTTTACGTGGTATGGCGTTGCTTGTCGATTTCTCTTCCTGTTTCGGAACATGGTTAACAAAAGTTCAAATGATGGACACAGTAGTTTTGCAATATGTCTCTAAGTAAAAGCTGAATTTGCCAGTATATTTATAAGTGCATCTATCGTAACATAATGCGGGCTGTACAAAAATCTTTTTTTTTCTCATTAGTCCGTATTGTAATAAAAACATTATTTCAAAACCTTCCAACATCTATGTCAACTTTCAATTAATCAGACATTATTTCTAAAACTACAATGATTACATGTGAACGGTTATAAGTTGGGAAAGTGAGTTCATATGTTTGATGCCATATATCTCTGTAACGAATATAAACTGAAACTAGCGAATTGCATTATTGCGTTCCTCGGATACTGTAGTATGATGAGCAATAAACATGTGATTTGTTTCACCCATGAGGTCCCCTATATCATGGTTGGTCACATTTATGCAATATCAATCATAGAGAATATTATTTATTACCCACGTGTTGAAGATACAGGTGGTAAGATACTAAATCCGTACGTCACACGTGTGTCGTACAAGGTTGACCTTGTTTTATTCGTTTTGATTGGATAATCGTGACCTCTGTCACATCGGGACTACTTTTTTCATTCATTAAAAATCGCGAGACGTCATTCATTTTGCGATTACAAGGCAGAACTGAAGAAATTCATGAGAACGAGAGATATTTACAAACACTTTATTAAACCAAACAAGATAGTCACACGCATCAAATTCGGTTTGCATTCTATATAAGTTATGCATAGAGCTCCTACAGACATATAATCGAGCTAGATCTATAAATCGATTTACAATGTACGACTGCCGATCGAGCGCGTCCCTTGAGCGTGACGCACCCGACCATTTTCGCAACTTTCAATTTGATTTAACGTAAGAGGATAAGCGTGGTGAAATGAAGTCTGTTTAAACTATCTGGACAGATATCTAGACTTACTTGGGATGATCCGGTTGTGCCATCGGTGTCCCCTTTGAAGCGTGTTTTATGGCGCTGTTTCGGGAGGTGTTGTTCATGAATGAACGAACACGACAGCACGACCAGATCACTTATAGTTCACAGTTCCGATACAAATCATTCGAAAACTCCGTGGAAGTGTGCTTGACTTCAGATTTTGTGGCCCCAAACATCCCAAATGTGAACAGTATCATTCCCTATCTCTAGCGTAAAACGCTGTGAGTGGATCGCGGTTGTCTTTTCTTATTCCGGTGGCGACCTTGCCCTTCGATCGTTCGAAGCTGTCACTGACATGCAAGCAGATTTGAGTTTGTTGATTGTCACGTCTTCAGTATATAGGGTGGTACAGTTTACATGAATGTCTTTGGCGAACAGTCTGATTTCCCTCTTCCAAAATGGTACGGACATGATATAAATTCAGCTGATAGATCCATGAAACCGAACCACAGACGGGACTCCGGCAGTGTGATGCGTGTGACTGTTGGTCCGATATTCAAAGCGCGGTTGTACTAACAACATGGCGCTTGGATTACCATAAGTTGAAGACTTTCTTCCAAAAGGATCTTGAGCGTCGGTGCTGGTTTGTTTGCAAACAGAACAGCAGGCGCATGTTGTTAATGCGTATGCATAAACATGTCAACAATGCCCATATTTGGACATATATCAATATTCATGCGCAA